CTGCTCACACACCTGCTTACAGCCCATAGGCCACAGAACACCAGAAGGATCTTTCTAAAATGTAAGTCAAATCTTATTGCCCTCTACATGGTGTGGAGGATTGATAAATATTTGTTGAATGAATGAATCAGATGATAGTAGTGGTCTTGGCTGCTGGAAGGATCAGTAAGCAATGAGGGACAGGGAAAACCAAAACAAGTTCAGAGAGCCCAGATTTTATGACAGTTTTGGTTCATTGTCTGTAATCTTGTATTTACTTGAAAACCCAAGCAGACGAGCCTACTTCTACTCATTGGCTTGCTCTAGACCCCTCACAGCCTACCCAGAGACAATTCCACAGAAGGCCAATCAAGGTTTTTCTGTGTCCACTTAGACTCTAAGCAGCTGCCCAGCTTTAATTAATATTCCACAGTCGTATCTAGAGAGGAGCCAGTTGCTGAGACAGCTGTCTAAGTGAAAGGAAGACTTAACTTTTCTTGTATTAGCTGGATCTGTTAGGGTAGAGTCAAAAGGGTCAGGTGTTGGGAACTACTGTCTTTGCAAGCTCACTCAGCCTGAGGTTCCTGCCTAACTGTTCCCGTGCCCATCTTCTCTGCTGAAATTCATCTTGGGAGGAGATGCTAGGTTTGATACTTGCAGGTTTGGTCTTAAACTCTAAAGCAATGGCAGCATATTACTCAGAGTCTCCTGCAAAGCAACAGGAACCATGGTATTGATTGTTACAGCGTAAAACGCCACAAGTCATTTAAGCTGATCGTCAAGTAATGACAATAAGGATTCAAATGGGGGGCTTACTCTTTGATCCACCAGGAGTTTCAGATGGCAATTATCATTATTTCTTGGATTCCCTCAGTCCTGATAGAAAATCAAGGCAACCAGAAACTATCATTTTGTGAACAGATAGCTATTAAAAGCACATTAATAATCTGTGGTGGGTACAGCATATGCCTTTTAAAAAGATTTGCAGCTTGTTTCTCTGTGGTAAAGACACGGGACTTCTCCAACCTAATTACAAAGCAATCAAACAATTTAATTAATCTGGAAATCACTTTCTAAACCATAACTGCCTTGAAAATGAGGCACCCTGTGCAGAGCCGTGAGGTAAAGTCCCATTTTGTTATATTGCTTGTGTACTGGCTGTGCTAGTCCTCCCCCCACCCCACCCCCGGGACCCTAGCATTAATTACCTACCAAATGCCTGACCACTGCTAAGGTTTGCTTTACCAGGTCAAAAACATCAGCAGTGATAACAGCGGTCTATGAAGTGTCCTAGCACTCAAAGATCCAAGAGCCAGCAAATCCCTGGGAGCAGCAGGATTTGAGTTATAAGCAAGGGCTGCACATATGGGCAGAGAATTAACTGGCACCGGTTTTCATTGGAAAGTCTCTCAGGTATTGCTTTGCAGATGGGTGGATGAATTCAGAGAGCCGTGCTGTGAGGAGTGAAGGTCATGTATAGGACTCTGGTTTCAGTCCGTCTTGCTTTCTCATCCTGGAGGCTTGCTGGGCATGTCCACAGCAGCCTGGTCCTCATTTCTTAAGAATACATATATAAGGTGTGCTTTTTAATTTAATCTGTTCTAAATGAATGGTATTTTCTTCACTGTATAACAAAAGTATGTCCCTCAGGCCTCAGAGACTGAGTAGGTAACACAGAAATCAATTTTTCTTTCAAATAAGATCACAGACTTCAAAGATTGACTCCCAGCAGTGCCTGGGTGTCTTAGGTGGTTAAGCGTCTGACTCTTGATTTCTGCTCAGGTCATGATCTCAAGGGTCCTGGGTCCTGCTGGATGTGGAGCCTGCTTAAGATTCTCTCTCTCTCTCTTTTCTCTCTCTCTCTCTCTCTCTCTCGCTCGCTCGCTGTTGCTCTCACTCTCCCTCTGTCCCATCCTCTCTAAAATCAAAACACAACAAAAAAAGAAACGAAGATTAACTCCCACCCATCTAATCTCCTAATCTTTTTACCTCTCCCTAAGGAAGATGGAGGAATATTCTGTAATAACACAAAAATCTACAGACTCATCCAACCTTTTCCTGTCTTATCACAATCACTCCACTTCTCTCTCAAAATTTCCAAATGTTGGTCGCTTGTAACCTGGAATATTTTCATCACTTCATTTCTACTGCATCACTAATTATGCTTGGTTTGCTCACAAAGATGTTTTTTCTGTTGGCCTTTCATGTCCTAATCTACGCTCCTAAACTTCCCTTCTTTGGCCACTCATCTGTCCACCCAACACGTTCATGCCAGATTAAAATCTCTAGCATCTTTCTCTTGCCTGCTGATGTCTCGTAAGGCCCTCCCCTGGTTAATACCAGTAAATATAGTTCACAGCTCATTGGCTATACCAGTCTGAATTCTCCTGCTGCCAGAGTATCTATCCCTACTGTATCATGCTGCTCTATTTGGGTGGTTTCTGTCCCCTTCCTGAGGTTCTTCCATTCTTCTGTTGAGCTTGCCCAGCTGTCCTCAGGTTAAGCTATAATCTCTTGTCTGTAATGAACCATTTTCTCTAATATCCCACTCCATTTAAGAACCTTTGTGATAGGCAGGGGTGAGGGGGAGGGGTGTGCATGTGTACGTACATTGGCATTTAAACCTGGCTTTAGATCTGCCATGAAACAGGAAGAAAGATCTGTTGGGAACAAGATGATGCAGATGGCCCTGTAGTCTTGAAGTTAAAAATGTGGGAATTTGGGTTTGATTTGATAGCAATGTGGGAGTGGATGAGAAACATTTTCAATCGATGGGCTTAGAAAGGTAGCACAAAATGGAGAGGCAAAAACCCAAAGATTAGAAATGGTTAATGGTAGCGTTGGGTTTTTTTGTTTGTTTGTTTGTTTGTTTTTCATTAAGAGCAGAGTTAAATTAACCTACCTCTATATATCTTTGTCTCAGCCTGTTCATCTTCAAAGGGATCAGTTGCCGTGTATTATAAGATGTTACATGGCTTCCTGGGGACCAGTCATTAAAATCTCTAAAAGTGAAAAGGGTTTTAAGTTAACTCCTTGTTTCTCCCTTCTTCAGAGTGTTGAAAATACGTAGTAAGCTCTCTCTAGTTCTAGTTGATCTCATCATAATCTCCAGATACAGTGTTCACTTTACAGAAGAACCTGGAGCTAAGAATTTGGTGTTAAGTTTCGTGGATCTTATTATTTATTCTCAGTGAATTCGGTAGCAGGAATTACTAAACTGATCACACCTTGGCTTCCAACAATCAGTTCTTCTGTTTTTCCTGATAACTTACTGGTAGTTTGCTCTATATGGGATGTGAGCAAAGTGAACACTTTTTTCCAAATAAACCAAATCCACACTAAGATTTCTGGCATTAGATTCATCTCCCTTTCAGAAACAAGAATTTTTAGCTATCTTGAATTTTTCAAGACCTTTTAAGGCTACAAAGAGTGATATGTAAGCTAAGATGGGAAAAGGCAGGGTGGTGGGAACGAAGGCTGTTGGGAAAAGTTGATGGAACTTAATTTAGCTGTGTAGATAGATGGACAAAAAGAGTCCTGGATTACTAGATGGCAAAAGCAGAATCAATTTCTCCAGGGGCCCGAGGAACAACAGATGCAAAGACATGATAAATTTCATTACAAAAGAGAGAAAAGTTCTTCTAGATTCTCTGTCCATAAAGAAACAGGCTTTTCAGTGCTTCCTAGTCAAATGGCTTTAATTATGCTGTCTATCATAAAGTTAATGGCATCTGTTGACAGCATCTCTATAAAATTTGCAACCTTAAGTTAATCGAAAAATCTCAGTACAGATGTAGCCAGCCCAGAAGTCCTCAAGGTAACACTAAACGTATCCCCTTAATGGGTTGGTCTCTTCTTATTTGTACGCAGGTGATGCATTGTTTGCAGCTAGGTACTGCAGTCTTGTATTCCTCACACCTTACCACAGTTGTCACTTCCGTTTCTGAAATCAGTAATGTGGGAACTGGCTGGCTGGTAGGGATTAAACACAGCTTCCTGATTTATTCTCCATGTTTCAAGACAGTATAAGACTAGCCTGCAACCTTTCCTCACCTCCTCCTTTAAACCAGCTACGTAAAGTTCCCTCCGGTCCTCAGAAAATTCTGCCAATCTAATTAAACATGCGGAGGGAAGCCGGGTGGTCTAGGCTGTCCTGAGCTGCCCCTCACCAGCTGCCTACCACGCATTCTCAATGACCAGCAGCAGGTTGGGTGTTCTGATGGAGGAAGTAACAAGCCCCCAAGGAGCTGTGCTCTTTGCAGCGAGCAGTCTGTGCTCACCCGCCTCCGTGGGATGCAAGGAAAACACTCTCTGAGAAAAAAAGCCTTTGTGGGGTGGTGGCTTTGAACGTCTGCCTGGCCAGTCACAGCCCAGATGCTTCGAACCGGGGTGCGGGGGAGGTGTTGAAGAAAATAGTGTTAGGGGCTAGATCTGGGTCATTGGAGAAATAGGTCCTAATGACTGGGTTCTTCCCAGTATTTTATGATGCATACTGACATTTCCGCTTTTTAAAACATGAATTCTGGAATACAAGGATTTATTTTTGAGAACTCAGACATGTACTTGGTTTCCGTAAATAAAAAATCCTGAGGCTGCTTCCCAAAATAGAAAGCCCCACCCCCACCACCAGGTGAAGCATAGACCTCCACAACTATCCTGTCACTTCAAATGTTAACATCTGGAAGACTGAGAAGCAAGATATTTATATATACCTTATTCTTTAGGACTGAAATGTTTAGGTTATTAATCCCTGGGAGACTGCTGCTTGGTGATGGATGGATGTGCTTATTCATATATTTTGCACCCTCAGAACACTGTGCTGGGACTCAAGCCCATTCCCTCACTCTCCCTCCCCCCCACTCTCAGCCCCCGCTCCAAGGAAAACTGAAGCATTTTTGAAGAGATGAATGTGGGATGAGAATGTACAGAAACGCATTACTAGAAAGAAGACGATCCTGGATGTGGATAATGTTACAAAAATAAAATCATGTTATGATTTTTTTCCCTCTTTCTCTTTACAGGAAACAGCCCTCAAGATAGTCCAAGAAATTTCTCCCCCAGTGCCTCAGCCCATTTCTCATTTGCACGGAGGTAAGGACTTTCTGTGGGTCAAATAGTAAAGTGTTATGTCGAGAATCGTGTCTCCTGAATCCCCTCTTCCTCATGCCGGCCTGTTCCCCTGCCTTCTGCCTATGAGATCCCGCGTATTATATATGGCCTCTGAAGCTCCCTGCCCAAAGATAGCTTCAGACCGCCACCCAACTTTTGAAAACACTCGTGCTTTAACAGTTTAATAATGATTTCTGACTCAGGTTAGAGTTCCATGTACCTCTCTTGGTCCTTCCCTAGATGCTGGGCTCCCAGTGAGGGCGAGAGATGATTGTTTCCTTTTTTCTCTCTTAACATGTGAGACTCTCACATATTGTTATTTTGTATATTTAGTCCAACAGGGAAGAGATTGCCCTGTTTTTAAAATTATTCTTGAGTAAAGGGATAAAGATCAGGCTTATTAATGTTTTCTTATCTTACTTATACCATTATGTGTGTGTGTGTGTGTGTGTGTGTGTGTGTACAAGCATTGCCTTGTACATGCTTGAGGTTCAGCAGATTTTTACGGAACTATCCGAGCTTATGTTACAGGACTTGACTCATCTCTGTGTCCTGATGCAACTGTTATTGTTGTTATTGAAATACTTTTTTTTTTTAAAATGACCTTCTTGAGATCAGAGGGTATGAACTCTAAGATGCGTCTTTACTTGAGAGCATGAAGCCACCAATTTGTGATCCCTTTGAGATAAAGCCACGCATGGACTATAGGATAGTTTATGTTTTCTGTTCATATCTTAGTTAGAATTTGATACCAAGTGCTGAAGATACATGTGTTCTATCTGGGTCATTGAGCCACAAGGAAGTCTTGTTGTGAATTAGGAGGATCATAGGCCTGTGCCATAACGTGAAATCTTGGAGGTTCTGCATCTTCTTCTGTGACTTCTCCAAGTGAGAGGAGTCTACACAGCCACATTTTCTGTGTTCTATATGTGGGATCAGTGTACATCTCCCTGTCTGATTCCAACCTTCACCCTCCTGGGTTCTGTCACCCCTCTCATACACCCTGGCCCCTCCTGCTCTGGGAAAAACAGAAAACAACCGACCTTCAGCCGGGTTGCTGAATATTCAGGGTAAATTCATTTATGGTTGACATGTCCAGCATACTTGCTCATTTTCCTCAGACACCTAACTATCAGGAAGTGGATTAACATAGCACTTAATAAAGACATATGTATAGGTTAAAAAAAATATATTTGTTTTAACACGTGTTCCTGACCAGCAAAACCTGCAGTGTCCCCACTGCCGTTTGTCAGCACATAACGTACTTACATTACTACATCCAAAGAAGAGGACCTGTTGGCACTATTTCCCAAATTCTCTGTAACTGATATCCCTTGTAAGTATTACACATCCCCCACCATATGGCAGGTGCCTGTGTGTGGAAAGCACCTATTCTCCATCATGGGCAGGACACCAGAACCATAAGACAGGCTCTCTAAGGAGCTTGAGACCCCCACCCTGACTTTTTCTCCAGTTCAGCTTCTCTTCTTTTAGGAACTTGTTCTAAGCACTATAAAGAAAAGGTGAAAATTACTGGTCCCACAAAGCCTATGTTCACCCAGTAGATATTAATTCATGATAGTGCTACTCATCTAAGTGGAAATGAAAATCTTACAAAAATGGATGAACAAGAACCCACCATAGTCTTTAAAACACACCTCTTAAAAGAATGTGTTTAATTACTTTAAGTAATAAGAAAAATGCAAATCTCATTATAGTGTGCATTTAAACATGACAGAAATCATAGTCTCTTAATCCTGCCAGATTTACAAAAATGAAGAGAATCTGATAATTAAGTGGGTGACTGGAGGATAGATGAATCTCATTTCCCTGCTATTTAAAAAGGTACACAACCCCCAGGCATGTTAATTTTTGACAAATAAACCATAAACCATAACAGAAGATTATCACAGGAGACCTGTAGTTCATTTTGCATGAATTTCCAGATGGAACTCCCTCCACACTCTTCAAAAAATATTAATTTAGATTGGGGCATGAGTGATCATCTTTTTAAACTTTTATTCAAGTAAACAGAACCCTGCATTTGCTATAAAAACTAAAATTGATGTGTTTTTATTTAACATCTGGTATCTCTCTCCTCCTTTCTAAAGTTCATTTTTATTCAGGAAACATGGAAAGACCACTCATGGGTCTCCATTCCATTCCACTCTGGTGTGCGTTTTTGAGACTTTAAGAAGTAATATCATTCTGAGACTCTCACATGTTTTTATTTTGTATATTTAGTCCAACAGAGAAGAGATTGCCCTGTTTTTAAAATTATTCTTGAGTGAAAGGATAAAGATCAGGCTTATTAATGTTTTCTTATCTTACTTATACCATTATGTGTGGGGTGTGTGTGTGTATAAACATATACCTTACATATACCAGTATGTGATAATATGCCCCCCACTAGACATCCCCTGTAATGGAATAGTTTAATTTCAGACTGGAAAATAGGATGGCACTCACTTGCTATCTAATACATCCATAAGAGTAAAATTATCAAGCTAATTTTTTACTAATGAGTTAAAAAGGATGAAAATGAGCATTATAGCATAATAAGTTTCATCAGGAGCAAAGAAGCATATTTTTACTTTCCTAAGAACTGTGATACAGATTTACAGTCTGATAACAGAATTAACATTTTTTTCTTTGGCTTAAGATGGAGGCAATAACATTGTTCTGCCATTCCCAAAAGTTGATGGAGTTGACCCATTACATACTGCTTTTACTTACATTGGAAACACAGAGCCCTGACTGCATGCCATGGGTGTTTCCTAGTGCCTCATTGTTCCTTACCAGGGTAAATCTCAGAATATATTTCCACAAGCAAATTACTAGAACAGACTTAGCTGCTGAGTTCAGGTCACTGGACACTGGTTGAGCACCTGGCATAGTTCAACTTATTCCAGTATCAATCAGAATATAAAAGATGTCATGCCAGGTGACTGTTAAAACTAAACAAATCAATCTTCTTCCTCTTTCTACAATTATAAGAGCCAGGTTGATACTGGGACTTTCCACTTTTTCTTTGTTATATACAGTATTAATATGATTTTTTTCAGTAGTGTTGAAATGATGTTTTTTGCAAAGTCTTTTGTATTCTGTGTTCCCATCAGATGTTTTTCTCTTCGTTCCTTCTCACTTAGTTTAACACTGAGAGATTTCCACCCCACCCCACCCCCCAAAAAAAATCACTTCAGAAAAGCCTTATTGCTTTGGCTGCAATGTAGTCTGTCTTCCAGTAATATTTTATTGGTAGCTTCTGCAAAGAAAAGACAACATTGTTAGCAGGATCTAAATTGCACTTGTGTGATAGCTTTCTTGGAAAAAAAGGGCATGCTCTCTCTTAAGTACAGTATATAGCATGTATAATAACTTCTGATATGCGGTCATCATGGTAATGAAAATGCAATGGTCCTTTGTGCTCCATTTGAGTAAATAGACACCAAGAACTTGGGGAACTTCATGAGACATAAATTATTTCTGGTCCATGGCTGCACTTTCTTGTTTAAACATCTTTTCGTTGGGTGTTTTCCAGAGTAAGCAAATGTAATTTATGTTTCAAAACTAACTAAGAATGTGTCTTTCCTTGGAATTGTTCATTCATGTGAAATATATTCATTGATACCTGAGGGAAAGGAGAGTTAATGAATCACAAAACAAAGTCACGATGGGGGAAATAGTGCCTGCGTTCTTTCCAGAGACTGGTTTCTGATAATTGCTATTAAATGGACTGAATAATCCTTTTAAAAGTCATATCCTCCACCCTTTTTTTTTTTAACTTCTAAAAATTGGAGGTGTTTAAAATGTAAAGTACAGCATGGATTTTTAAGTCTTCGATAAGTAGCCAAATAAAATAAAACTAACCTGTGTCCAGTTAATTGATGTCTTTAGAAACATGTTCTTATAATTATTTTATCCATAAATCTTTAACATTTTTAATTGTTTAAAAATATTTTTAAAGAACATATGACTTAATTGTTCCCGTTCCTTATGTCTGGCATATTTACAAATATTTTGTTTTGCTTCTTTTTTTAAAAAACAAACTTGATCCAATTGTACTCCAATCATGGTCACAGAAATGACAGGTAAATTTTACTCAAATTTTAACATTGTAGTATTTCTGTGATTTGTCCACTTGAATTTCTCCATTTTGTCTTTGTGGACCATTTGCATTTATTGGAGGCAACATCCAAGGTAGCCTGTGATTATATTTTCCCTTGACTGTAATTTAGTCTCAAATATCAGGTTTTTTACATAAACATCTAATTGTGACATTTCTCAAATTCAAGTCTAATGCTGTTGAATCCCCTGACCTCAACTTCCTATGAATGTGTCGTTGGTTAATTTGGCCCCCTCTTGTCTCTCGCATAGTAAATGAGTACAGTCGTAAATTATAAGAAGTCTATGTAGGATAGACTACATCTAAAGAATGCAGTATAGGCCTTTATAATGTGTGTTTTTCCTGTTTTTCCCCTTGGCAAATGCACAGCTATTTGTTTTCACAGGGGTATAGGATGTTGAAATCACAGTCTTACTTAAAACAGGATAAATAATAATGACTCTGGAGCACCCGAGAGTTCAGAAAGTTTGCTTTCTGGTCCCTGCAACAGTATTGTCTCTATTATTTCATTCAATCATCTGAGACCCTTTTAAAGACCCTAACTCATAACCAGAATCTACCCCGGAAGCTACCCTTTGACCATTTGGAGAGAAAATCGCTCTCTTCAAGGACTCCTGACAGTTTTGCCTCTATGACTGGAACAGACACTTGTACTCTTCTCATTAGGTTCTGTGACTAGTAGAAAATTTTCTTTCTGCCCCTGCTGTTCTGGGCCGGAGCGGGGCTACGTACTCACAACTCTGCGAGGGACTTTTGTTGTAACACTTGAAGCCAGGTCCTGTCAGAAGATAGTAAATCTTAGAGATTCTGACCATAAAGTCAGTCACTATTTTAGTGTGAAAGTTTTTTGCTACTTAAGACTTGAACCAGCCCTGAGCCCCACTAATCCCCTCCCTAGGTGTGAGGAGGAAGACAGTTCCCTTGAAAATAAGTGGAGAGTTTTTAGGATGTCATCGAAGTCCCCACAGGCTCTTAGACCTTGCTGGAATTCAGGCCCTTCCAGAGACCCATGACCTCAGTGATCAGCCTCCAGACACAAGTATTTTTTCCTCCTCCCTTTCTGTTTTTATTCGTTTGAATCTGCTGAGTCTGACCATTGTAATTATCCCCAGTATTCATTTTGTCAAAGTGTGTTAGCGAGAGATCAATAATATGGATCAGCCCATTCACTTTCTACTTGTTTGGCTATATCGATTCAATTTAAATAAAAGTCAACCTGCTGTATAATGTTTGTTTACTCTGGCCCGTGCTGAACATTTCCACATCTTCACTGACCGTATTTGTATCATTTGTTTGACTAAAAATACTCGGTTTCCCTGGGGCCCCCCTGTAACAGTGCTCCAGTGTTGGCCAAAGTTAATCTCCCTCTCTCGATAGGACTGATGGACGCCGCTGGTCCTTGGCTTCTCTCCCCTCCTCTGGCTATGGGACAAACACGCCCAGCTCCACAGTCTCTGTAAGTACTGAACTGTTCTCCTCTTCCTCACAATCACACAGCTCTCTGGCATAGCACGTGTTTTCTCTGGTAGGAAGGAGGAGATAAATTTGGCATGTCTGTCACTCTGAATAGGTTCCTCATCACATGAGGAGCTGACAGATGTAAAAAGGACATACTCTTTGCTGCAAGCTTTTAAACTATGGTGCATAAATTGAGTTAAGTCCCAGGATCACAAGTTTGGAGGAGATTGGGAGCTTTTGTTTTAATACCATTTGGTGTAGTTCGGAGGGGGGTTGGTGGAGGGGGGAAATTCAATCTGGTTTTATTGCTTTGGTTCCACACCAGTGATATCAGTACTGAAAACGCCATTAAACTTTGATGGCCCGGGTCTTTTTTTTCCTCTTGTGTGGCTTAGATGCAGGGATTTTTTGTTTGTTTTTGCTGTTTTGTTTTTTTTGTTTTTTTCCTTCAAATTAAAAAAAAAATGGCAAGCCTTAAATCTGTACCTCCTAGGTAAGACATTTTTTTTAAGGAGAGATTAAAAGAATTTCGTAGTAAGTTAAGACAAAGAGACAAAATGAAGCCATGGAAATAGGATAAAGAAAGAAGGATGCTCTTGCCCCAAACTGTAACATTTCAACACGAGCTCTACCAACGAATGGAAACAATTCAGTAAGTTTAGATAGATGCTTTCTCAGTTTAAATTTGTGGTGTTGTGGGGTATCTGTCTCTGCAGAGCTTTGGAAGCTGGAGGTCATTTAGAAACCCCAGGACTGTTGTAGGCGTTCGATACATACCTAATGGAAGGGCCGAACGCCCTTGGACAAACGGGAAATGTGGACCTGATGATTTTAGATTTCCTTCTGGTCTGTTTCCATCTTCATTTTGTGAAAGTCTGTGGTTTATTGTGTAGGGTTACTCATCCGTTGTTCCACTGGGCGGGTGCTGCTGGTTTTTCACAGGCCCCAGCTCTGTGCTAAGCACGCACATTCAGCACATACTTATATGGAAAAGACATTACAACTGGGGCGCCTGGACGGCCCTGTAGGTTAAGCGTCCAACTCTTGATTTCGGCTCAGGTCAAGATCTCAGGATCTCAGGGTTGTGGGATCGAGCCCCGCAGCAGGCTCTTCACTCAGCAGGGAATCTGCTGGAGATTCTCTTTCTCCTCCCACCCACTCCACCCCCACCCCCGCTACCTTGCTCCCTCTCTCTCTCAAATAAATGCTTTTTTTAAAAAAAGAAAGGGCATTATCATTGTTTATAAACTAACTGGTATCATTGCTGCCTTACATTATGAGTTTCCAGAATTCCAGATGCAATATAATATGAATTTTCTGGAGCACTTTAATACTGCCTTGTTAAAATTCATTGGATTGTTTTTTACCATCTCTCTGGTATTTTACTGAGGAGAGGTAATTTATTTTCATATCTTCTGTTCCATTTAGTTTGGTATGTGGATTTATTGTCCAATTCGATAATTTTGGTGAAGCATCCTGACAGCCTTGAGACATTTCAATGATGCAGAAACCTTGCACCTGGAGAGGATGCTTCAGACTCATGGATGGTTTCGGTGGATAAAACTGTCACTAAAAAAACAGTGACGCCACCCTGGGCTGCTGTGTCCAGAGTCATTACTGGTCATTTGTTGATTTTAGATGTTGAAAATGTGGGTAACTCCAGTGTGAAAATGGATGCTAAAACTAAATGAAAAGAAAAGCAAGGGTAACTTTCTGAAAGTTAACTTTCTACAGACTTTCAGAGAAGTCTCTTGTCTCCAGATTCTTGTTCATTTCAGCTCTATGACCTCGCTTCGCCCTTCAGTCAAATTTTAGTGTCGTATATATACAGTAATTTGACTGTTGCGAGAAAAATAGGGGAGAGTACAAGATCTTTCCATCTGTAACTATTAAATCATACACCACTTTAAAAAGCCAGTCTCTCATATGGTACAATCAGACCTCATTTGGTACAAATAATTTTAAAAGCCAGTATAGAAATATTTATTATGTGCTAGACATTAGCCTGACTACTTCCAGTGTGACATAGTAGTCTTGTTTAATCAAGCAACACACTGTGTTGTGCAATTGCTACCGTTCTCTTCCTTTTATTTATCAGAAATGTAAGACACAGGGAATGACACACTGAGGGGCTTTGACCAACCCCTTCCTTTCTTGAAGATACAGTCAGGTCTAGATTCCAGGCTCTTGGTTCTTTTTAAGGAATTTACATGGTATTTCTTAAAATAAATATCTTAATTAATAAACATGACCTGGCCATCTGGCACAATGAATTATCACCATCCTTGACTTCCATATGTGTCTAAGAAAGAAGCCCCATGAGACTGCATTTAGTCACACACGCACACACATTTGCTGTGTTTCTAACTGACAGCTGCTGACCAGCGTTAAGATAGCTTTTAGGTTTTCTCTTAAATGTTTATTAAAGAAGATGGTACATACAATTGTTGACCTCATGTTCCTACTATTTCCTTCAAAATAAAATTTTCTTTCAAGATTTTATTTATTTACCTGACAGGAGGAGAGAGAGAAGGAGAGCACAGGCAGGCAGAGTGGCAGGCAGAAGCTGACTCCCCACCGAGCAGGGAGCCAATGCAGGGCTCCATCCAGGACCCTGGGATCATGACCAGAGTTAAAAGGCAGACACTTAACCAACTGAGCCATCCAGGCGCCTCTAAAATTTTAGCTTTCAAATTACTTTGTGCCAAAAGATGCACAGAACTGTTAAGTGTGTGAAGTGTGGGTGCTCCACATATAAAAAATTCAGTTATCTAGTCTCCCTATTGATTGTTGATAAATATAAGGAGTGAAAATTTGAAAAGCTACTTTTCATTTCTCTCAGGGTTTTTGGGTTCTTGTCCTTTACATAGTGGGGCAAAATTTGCCCAAAACTGCTTAGTAGTTACATTTTCTTCTTTTCTTTCTTTTTTAAAAAGATATACTATATTTTATTTTTAAGTTCATCACTATGTCCACTGTGGAGCTTGAACTCATGACCCTGAAATCAAGAGTCACATGTTCCACTGACTAAGCCAGCCAGACTCCCCTCATTTTCTTCTTTTCTAAATCTTATCTGAGGCACTCTCTGGTTTTCGTTTTGTGGGTTAACTGTTAGTCATGAGGCCAATCAAAATGCATTTTAGTTATTTTTTAAAAGTAAACATACAGAACACAAAATTACAAACACTTGGAACATACAACTTAAGTTTGGCAGGTAATTGTGTTGTTTGCTGAATTCCGGCACTACTACTATTGAAATGTAAACATCCCATCTTTATCCTTTGGATATATGGCAACTGTACCATTGGCAAGTGTTAAAAATGCTGTATTCTAACATTGAAAAGATTTGGTCATAGGAAGTTAATCAGTCCCTCCAGAAAAATATTTGGTTTTGCAACTTCTTTCAACTCCAGATTTTTCCATTAAAATTAATCAGTGGGGAACTTTTCCAAGATAATATTGCGGTCATAATTTTTAATTTCAAAATAAGTAATACAGAACTGCAGCAGGAGGAGGACATTCCCCCATATTTCTTAACAGATTAATTATTTTCTGCTGAGGAAATGGAAATAAGAATATAAATACCTATACATATGTGAGGTATGACTATAAAATGATACTACATTTAATAAGAAGTAGGAAATTATGCATTCATATGAGTATTGTCTGTTGCAAAATGGTTATCTGGAGAGATTAAACGATATCATTATTCAGAACAGTTTTGGGAAAGTCTTGTACAGCTTTTTTACATAACTCTCTATTCTATGAATGTGGGTTTGATTTATGATGCTATCAAAAGTCATGTGCAGACCAGTTGGGTGAGGAGACCTGACACCACACATAGAGAATATGCTAGAAGTGTAAAGTAATCAGACACAGTTTATCGGAAACTCCCAGACCAATTACTGAAGCTCTCCTCCCAGGATGCCTTGACCAGTGGAGGTGGTTGGAAGTATGGTGTGCGGTCTTGGGGCAAGCCTGCACCTCTGCTGTCTTGTCCCTCTCGCTGGCTTCGAAAGTTCTCCACTGAATGAGTCCCTGATCTTTGCTAAAACCTAACCTTGGATTTTTCGATTGTCCAATATCATTTCCCTTTTGGGGCCCCATTTTCCTGGCCTACAGTTGTCCCCAATGCCATGAACCCATCCTTTGTCCCTTGAATAGGTTATCACCCTCCTCCCATTTGTACCTTGCTTGTTCCAACTGAGATGAAGGAGGCTTTTTCCCCAGAGGAGTCCTTGCCTCCTCTCTTCTTTACTAGTGTTAAGGTTGGAACATTTAACACCACTGCATCATTCATTTTGCCTTATTTCCTATTGCTAAACCTGGGGCACATTCCTTAGGCAGTTTTGTTCTGTGGCTGCATATATGGTAGAACCACAGAATTTTCCACACTTGCTAACATTTTGTTACATTTGCTAGGGCTGTTTTTTAAAATAAATTGTTATTTTGTTTAATAAATGTTAAAGGTTCAAGTAAAACACTGCCCCCACCCCAGTACCTTTCTGCTCCTTCCCTCCAGAGAGGGAACTTACCCTTCAAAGTCATTTCCATGTCACTGCAGGACTCTGATACTTTACATGAAACTCTAGAGCCCAGTGTGTTTGGGAATTAATTTTCATATTTTAGAAAGGTAACGGGATCCCTGTACTTTCCCTGACAGCCCAGCAGCACATGGGCCAGCGGCTCACAATCAAATATATCAATATTTCTGTAGAAGCCTAAATCAACATTCCCACTAAGTGGATTGAATGCATATTTTAAATAGCTTTCCATGAGCTCAGTTGATGCTGGGCCATCGGAAGGGATTCCTGTAGTCTTAGGAATAAACTTCAGGGTTTCAGGGTTTTGCAGTCCTGGATACAGAACTGTGGACATTGATTTTCCTCTGAGACCTATGTACAGATTCTTACTTACATTTTTTTATTAGCTAATTTCCTTATCTTCACTTTGATCATTAAGGTTTCTTTCCTGCTTACGGTGATTTTATTATTCTTTTCCTGATTGCTTGAGTTGACTTAGATTGTGTTTTATTTGTTTTTTTTTTTGTTTTTTTCCCCAGCAAAAAGTGTTTAAGGCTGTGCTTATACTCTTCTGAATAGAGATTTGGTTTAACTCATAAGTTTTTCCAGTAGCGTTTTCATTTTTATGGCTTATAAAACAATCTCATTATATTACAAAAATTCCTCTTTGTCTCTGTATGGACTCATAAGGTGTTTTATAATTTCAAGGTATGAGGGTATTTTTAAGCTTTAGTCATTAATTTCTAGTGTTACTGCATTGTGATGCTTCAGTGTTTATGAAGTGCAATTATTGTTAAACTAATGACAGCTTTAAAAAAAACTGTTAAAACTGAGATTTCGGATGAGCGTTAATGTTACAAATTTGCTTATTCTAATCATGTTTCTCTTGCTCAAAAATTTCTCAGTCTCTTTTGTTAGAATTGCTTATAGAGTTTACCTCCCAGTGAAAACAAAAAGAAAAGTCTGTTTGCTTTATAGTTCTGTTTCTCAGATTGATTAAAAACAGTGTTATTTAGTTACTCTCTTTTTCTATGTTACCTTTCTCTAAGTATGAAGTGACAGTTTTCAGAAAGCAAATCTATATGCAAGAAATTTAAAAAACCACCACTGCAGCTGCTTTAACAAAGGAAAAGAGGGGAGGGGATACATGCTATGGTGAGTGCTGTGAATTGTGGAAGACTGATGAATCACAGACCTGTACTTCTTGAAGCAAATAATACATTATATGTTAATAAAAAGAGAAAGAGAGAGAGGGAGAGAGAGAGAAGAGGGAGTCTTAGCCAAAGGAAAAAAGGAAGAAAAAAAATTCCAAAGTTTAAAGTAATGGCATTAGTGAGAAAAGTATCTTTATCTCTTCACCTTTTCACCCAAGGCACATATCAGTGTATCGACAGACGGCATGCCTTGTAAAGGAAGATCTCATTATGTTATTTATAATCACACATCATAAAAGTCATTTTACGTTACTCACCGGAAAGCCACAGTATTTAATTGTGAGCAGTGGTCCAAGCAAGGGTACCATACTGAGTTGAGAACTAATCTGTCATTTCATGCACCCAGATTGTCCAGGTATCACTTTCTTGCCTTGGCTTTGAACAAGTCTTCCCCATTTTCCGAGCCTGGATTTTCTGCAAGAGAGGAAACGATCTTTTGGGAAATGGTCATGTAGACAAATGAGACGAAATATGGAGGGCATTTTGACCTCACAGAGAAAGCAGTAAGGGTATACATTTAGACACTAATTATTATAATTATAATGTGAAAGGGAAACTATAAAATGGTGATGTCACCCAGGTTCACTGCTTTGCTTGTGAATTCACTTGAATTTGAATTCACTTTCTCACAGGGTCCTCTAACCTCCCTGTGGTTTGTTGTAGTCCTCCTCTTCCTCCCAGGAGAAGCTGCATCAGTTACCCTACCAGCCAACGCCAGATGAATTGCACTTCCTGTCGAAACATTTTTGTACTACCGAAAGCATTGCCACAGAAAACAGATGCAGGAACACGCCTATGCGCCCCCGTTCCCGAAGTCTGAGGTAGGTGGACCTGATTGAAAAGTCTTACTTAATTGGATTATCTGTTTTTAACCATTTCAAGGGAAGTCGTTTTTTCCTCTATTTCATCTATGTGTGAATTGATTTGTGCACTACCCCAAATATCGTGTGATTTTTCCAATCTCTATGTGATATTGGTAATTACCACTAAAAGGCATCTTACTGTTTTTCTTTATTTTTTCCTATTTTTTAAAAAATAGTATTTATTTTTTTGACAGAGACACAGCAAGAGGGGAACATAAGCAGGGGGAGTGGGAGAGGGAGAACCAGGATCTCCGCTGAGCAGGGAGCCCAGTTCGGGTCTAGATCCTAGGACCCTGAGATCATGACCTGAGCCAAAGTCAGATGCTTAATGACTGAGCCACCCAGGCGGCCCTCTGTTTTTCTTTGAATTTCTTTCAATTTGTAAATTGGGAGAGTAGCAATAATCATGATGGACTAAAGAGACCTCCTGTAAAACCTTCTTGCATTGGAAATTTCAAGGCAATCTAACTGTGGTACAGGAGCACTTAGTGTTCTTATTTTAAGATGAGTAAGCTTGGCTAAAAAGGAAGGACAGCAAAAAAAAAAAAAAAAAAAAAAAGATTTTTCCTTCAGATTCCACATTATAAAAGTTCATCTATATTTTTCATCTTTCTTCCCTTCATGAGTTTCTACTTTTTCCAAGCTTATGAATAAATTATTAGGAATTTATGTCCCTTCAATTTTGACATTGAGTAGGGCCAGAAATATAGAGAGATAGTTTGATGTGTTTTACAGGTTGTTGTTTTGGGGTTTTGTTGTTTTTTTTTTTTTGTTGTTTTTTTTTTTAGGATGTAGACTCTAAAACAGATTTGTGTTCAGGATGTTTATTAGGGGGTGCTTAGGATTTATCCCATGTGAGGAAGGCCAGCAAGCTGACTTGAGCAGAAAGAACTCTAGGTGCCACACAGCTGACTCCACAGGGAGCTCTGGGTATGGCATGGCCATCAGAGTTATCCCTCTCTGCCAAATGGCCCTTACTTTTTATCCCTACCTCAGTTGCTGAGTGCGGTACCCTGAGAAGGACTTGGCCTGGGTGAGGTGACTGCAGCTGAGGCCATCTTTGAAGGGACTGATGGCTGATTGCTTCTGTAGTCCCAACTGCTGGGGCAGCAGGTCCTCTCTGCAGGATGATCAAGGCAGTCCATCTCCACAGTATGAAGCTTGCAGCTGTAGAATTGATATACTTTCCTGTTGAAGATTTTACTGTAAAAATAGTTTGTCAGGTATTCAGTTGAATATCAAAGTTTACTGATAAGGGTTTTCCCCTTTGTACTTCTTTTTTTTTTAAAGTAAACTCTATACTGAACATGAAGCTCAAACTCATGACCCTAAGCCCAAGAGTCTCATGCTCTACTGACTGAGGCAGCCAGGTGCCCCTGGCTGGGATATTATTTAGGATAATAAACTGATAGTTAATGTACCCACATTGAATGATTTGGCAACGTGTTGTTATTTTGAGTTAGGGAATAAAAGTTCAATGTTATGAATTCATTTAGGGACATTGTGTTTTAACAATGGGTGCCCATTTTATGGTTTTATGAAAGGAGTTCCTTGGGTATCTAGTACAGGCTGTATTCTCCCAGAAGGGTAAACACCGTCCTCACTGAGGTTGCCCAACTCTGTAACACTAGAAAGAAATATGCTATTGAAAGGAAGAAGAGCACACAACAGTTCCATGCCTCTGTTTCATATTGTACGTAATGCTGACTTCAGCATCCCAGAGAGATCTTTGCGAGGCTAGAAAATGGATTTCAGTGGCGACACCTGTGCTGTGGAAGACCATCAGACCTCTTCAGTGGCACGTGGCAGAGCGCAGGTGTCGGAAAAAAGTGTGAAATTGCACTGTTCAGTGTGTCCTCGATGTTGCTGTTTGGAACGATCTTATTTTGTTTTATGTTGCAATTCATTAATTGGTTTCCGGAACAATAGAAATGCATTCTACATACAGAATATAATCTCGATTTAAGAACGTTTCTGAACTTCTTTATATTGTAGCTCTCATTATTTTGTGGCATTCCATTTCTAGAGCTTCCTTTTTGAATCCTGTTCAGGGTGTCACTGTTTGTGGGTATTTATGTATGTATTAATGACTGATTTTGTAGTTTATTACCTAATATTCTTTTCTTGCAAAGATTGTATAGTACTTTGATCCAACCAGTTGTTTATAAATAAAAAGCTTATTTTCATTTCATGCTGAGGCAAGTTTCAAACGGTAATTTGCTTTGCCTGCAGCCCTGGACGCTCTCCCGCCTGCTGTGACCATGAAATAATTATGATGAACCATGTCTACAAAGAGAGGTTCCCAAAGGTAATGAACTGAATTGAAGATGTCTAGCATCTAAACCAACGGGCAATATGGGTGTAGGTGGTCTGTTATGGGAAGGCATGGGTCAGTCCCGTAGTAATGAGTTACTGTATAAGGTGGTTTGTTATGGGATAAGGTGGTTTGTTATGGGAAGGCATGGGCCAATCCCGTAGTAATGAGTTACTGTATAAAACAGCACCACAGCTTCTAAGAAAGGTAAAAATTACTGAACAATTTTTCTTTAAGTGGCTGAGCACTAACCACACCCTCTGTGTGCTGAACTCCCTCTAGAGCAAATCCTGCCGGTTGCCCAACCCACGGGGTGGGCCTGGTGGGGTGCCACAGGGAGAGGGAGACTCTGCACCCACATGCTCGCTTGCCCATTGTCTGGGGCCTGCTGTATAGTCAAGGGCAATCCTTTTCCTTCCTTAGACGCCTGGAGAGTGGTATGTGATGAACGTCTTTTTTTCTTAAAAAACAAAACAGCCCCCAAAAAACCTCATTTTTTTTTCTGTGACTTCCTGTGTCTTCAGCAATTATATGTCTAACCCTATTAATTTAGAAGAGAAGGTGCAGTTGCAATGTTCCCCAATAGAATGGCAAAGGGAATTCACACTGAGCCCAAAAAGACTTGCTAAAGAGTTGCTGACAGACGCCCCAGCTGCGGAAAGCTGCCGTTTGACGCTCCCCATCCCTGGCTTGCACGACCTTTCCCCTAGTGCTCCTGCACGGTCAGGAGAAGACAACCTCTCCATTGTGTTCCTGTTCCTCCCCAGCTACTCGTGTAGCCCTAGGCAAGAAAATGAAAGGAAATCTCTGGTTTCATAAATCACAAGTAGAGTACTTATTATTTGTAATGAACCCAACATTGATGTCATTGATTAAAGCCGTCTTAGCTATTAATTACCTGTCCCTTGTCACCAGGGAAATAGGTCCTGACTCTTCATAGTCAGTGCTGGTTGGGATTTTAGAGAGGAGCAGGAGGCAGAGGGCACCCCTCTCTGCATAGACAATTAATATAACCAGGGGATACTGATTAGACACTAGGGCATCACAGAAAATGAAGTCAGAGTTGCAAAGGAAATTTTTGATAGATGTACCCAAGTAATCTCCTTGGCCTTTTATACAAGATGTAGCTTTTTGAGAGAAGGGTAAGGATGTTCCTGGTGCATTTAAACCTACTGAACAAAATGACTCTTAGCCCACCCTGCGGAATTCCAGCAACAGTCCTGAGTTTTGAATAGGTAAAAATTTAACTGGATATTGTTGAACATCCATGTGAAAGAAAGAGCCCAAGATTTAAAATGAAAACATAACAACGCACGGTATTGTTTGGCTTATTTGAAGAAGCTGACATAGACCATTTTATATTTGATAGGATAGAAAAAAATCATTATCACCCTTGGTTAGTCACTTTCCCTTTACTTCACATCTTTCTTCCATGAGATAAGGCTGCTGTTGCTGCTTTAAAAAAAAAAAAAATTTAAATGAGCATTAGGTGTTATATCCAGCTGATAAATCACTGAATTCTACCTCTGAAACTAACATACAGTATTTGATAATTGAATTTGAATAATTTTTTTTTAAAGAACAGACTATTTTTTAGAGCAGTTTTAGGTTCACAGTGCAGTTGAACTGAAAGTACCAAGAATTGCCATATACCCCCGACCATGCCTCCGTAACACCCTCCCCATTCCAGCACACCCATCCAAATACCTTCCCCCCATGAATATCCCCTATCAGAGCGGTCCATTTATTAAAAATCGATGAACCTGCCTTGACACATCATAATCACCCCAAGTCCGTAGTTAACATTTACGGTTCACACCTGGAGGTGTATTCTGTGGGTTTTGACAAGTATGTAATGATATTGTGTATACACAATTAGTTTTGAGAAATCTGTTTCATAATTTGTGGAGGCCTCTGAAAATGCTACATAAATGTGATGATTGTCCGTATGTGTGTTTTGTTGTATTTCATCTGTGTGTGCACATCTTCTCTAACTAGGCTACAGCTCAGATGGAAGAACGTCTGAAGGAAATTATCACCAGCTACTCCCCTGACCACGTACTTCCTCTAGCAGATGGAGTGCTTAGTTTCACTCACCATCAGATTATTGAACTGGCTCGAGATTGCTTGGATAAATCCCACCAGGGTCTCATCACCTCACGATACTTCCTTGAATTACAGCACAAATTAGATAAATTGCTACAAGAGGTATGAACCACATACCATGTAAAGTTTTCTGATTCGTTTTGCTTTTCCCCTGAAAAAAGAGAAATTTCACGAGTGCATTTGCGTACACGTTTTAACCATGAGATAGAGTTCATATTCGGAGGGAAGCAAAGAAGAAGAAAAAACTGATTGCTACTTTCTATAAATTGATTGTCGTCATCATTTATAGTAATAGAAAGTTAATGTAATAACCTTTATAGGAACCTCAGGATCCAACCATCTATGGCTCTGGGATAAGTGGATTGTGAAGGATTTTGAGGCAGTGATTTTTCCTCCTACCCCCAACCATAAAGTTATAAATTGCCTGAGTACGTGTGTGTTATTTGAGGATGCTATCTAGTCCTAATACCTGAAAAAGCTAAATGGAAAATGGCTGGCTTCTTCTAGGCCTGTGTCCTATTAATTGACCTGCACGTGGTATTGGGCAGTAAATGATAACTTATATTTTCATTAGTGTCAGTTCCTCTTCTAACGAAATATCCAATTTCCAAAAGACAGATAAACATAGGGCCTGCCTGAGCCAACCCCTTGAATGCTTAGCTCCTGATAATAACCAGGACAGGAAGGAATGTGTATGGTAGAATGCAATTAGTGTATATATTGCTCTACTGACTGAAATTGATCAGTCACAACCTATAAGTAAAACCTGTTTAGCCTATATATTCGGTATTGTATTTCTCTACCTCACAGGGCAGAAGCTATGCCCATGTCAGCATGATTGTACGTGTTTTTCTCTAACCATGAATATGTAAATAATTGCGTGGACCTGAAGGAAAATACTAGCATCCTAGTTTTCTGGAAATTATCAATCTGTCCCAACTGAGTTTAGTTCTGGTGAGATCTCTCTCTGACCGACAGCCGCTATTTTTCTTTTCTTTCCCATCCCAACATCCCGACAGAGTTTTCTGTACTTTGTTCCCATTACTCATATTTCAGCCTACCGTGGTCCATTAAGGCAGTGTTTCTCACCATATTTTAGGGCTGGTAAATACGTTGTTTTTGGGTTTTGGTGTTCATTTCCAGTTTGTCTTGCACCTATTCTTCCACATATTAAAATGAAAATAAATGTATAGGAAAATGATCGTGCATTTGGATGTATAAGCAATGTAAAAATATAAGAGCTGCTAAGTGCTTACTCTCAGTAATTTTACTCATGTCATCACAGACTGATGGCTCAGGGACTGCCTGCAGCATAGGCTATAGTGGCCGTGTGGGCAGGGATTTTGTCTGTTTTGTGCATCTAGAATAATGTCTAACTCATAGGAGAAAGCTTATGGAGTGAATGGCTTCTGACCTCTCACTGAACTCATTGAAGTCCGTTTTCCTCCTTACTGTTCTATCCACCGCACATTCTCTCAGAGCAGCCTGTTTAACTGAATATTATTTAGCAATACTAAAGTTTTCCCTTTCTCTCTTGCTAACCCCTCCCCCTCCTTTCAAGATATTCTTATTCTTGGTACCTCTGTTTCTTCTCTGCTTCTTCCAAGGGCTCTTCTAACTTGTGTTTTCTAGAAGTTAGCTTTCCCGTATCTGATTGGTGGCCCACGGCTCCTCCCCACTTGAGATATCTTGTTTGCTATCTTAAAGACCCATGAACTCTAATGGCTTCCATTCTGCATCTCAGATCAGCAGCTCTCTCTTAGATTTCAAATTCATGTGTCTGCCTGGCTGTTGAGTATCTCTCCACCAAGGCGGTAATCCTAACCCCCACATTCTTGCTCCTATGAGGCTGTAAGAACATCTATCTAAGAGTCTTCAGTGACTCCATTCCGCCTACAAGTAAAAACCCTAACATGGCCCATTGAGCACAATGCATTTTGTAATGATCTGTTTTGGGGTTTCACTTAAACAGCATGAGTGGGCTCTTTGAAAGGAGAGGGGGATCAGAGGGAGAAGCAGGGTCCCTGCTGAGCAGGGAGCCCAATGCAGAACTTGAGCCTAAGACCCTAAACTCATGACTTGAGCTGAAGGCAGACGCTTAACCAACTGAACCACCCAGGCGCCCCAAATAGTGCATTTTTAAACAGAAGAAGCAGATAAGAGAGTATCTGTATAGTCAGCTTCTGTGAGATACTCCTGTAATTCCACATACATGTCCCAGAATATTACTAAAATTACTAGTTTAGTCCTGCCTTTTTCATTCCTTCAGAGGCTTTCTCTGAAAAGGATAGAATCAATGTCCAGAGTGATTTGCTTTGAAATCTGCCCCAGTGGGGTTCCTGGATGGCTCAGTCAGTTGGCCATCCAACTGTTGATTTCAGCTCAGGTCCTGATCTTGGGGTTGTGGGGTCAGCCCCACACTGGACTCCGCACTCAGCATGGAGTCTGCTTGTCCATTTCCTTCTGCCCCTCCCTCCTGCTCATACTCTCTCTTTCTTTCTCTTTATCTCTAAAACAAATAAATAAAATCTTTAACCCCCCCACACACTGAATTTTATTTCTGTTTAACAGACCTGGCAGATTGTTTCATGGCAGTTATTAAAAAAAATTCATAGCTTTCAAAAATCATGTGAATGCACCATATAAGACACAAAAATTGTTGATTTTGAGGTTGCTGGGTGGCTCAGTTGGTTAAGCGTTCAACTGCTGATTTCAGCTGAGGTCACGATCTCAGGGTCCTGAGATGAAGCCCTATGTTGGGCTCCACGCTGGGTCCAAGCAGGTTGGGAGCCTGCTTAAGATTCTTTCTCCTCTCCCTGCCCCTCGCGTGCTCTCTTTCTCTCTCTTTCTCAAAAAAAAGTAATTAGTTAATTAATTGTTGGTTTTTAGGAAAATTTGTCTTTTCAGCAGAGAAGCATGTATATTTGTGGTATGAAGAGCAAGTTTTGGTTATGAATAGGAATTTCTTATTTATCTTCACAGATAAACATTTCCTTCAGTCCTTTTTTTTTTTTTCCCCTTGTGGGAAAATTGAAACAGTCTTCAGAATCGCATCAACAGTGTCCTTCCAGGGTTTGGAGCTAAACAGTCACAGGGGAATTTGTGCCTTTTAGATGGAGTCTTATTGTGGGAATTGCCTTTGCCTTCCCCAGGATGCAATTGTTGTCACTTCCCAGCTGTGGCATTGTGTGCCTGCAGGGTATCTCCTGGCCACTTTCCCCACTGTCAGTTTTTTGCAGACCCAGGCAGGGTCCCCCTGCGGCTTTGAACAGCTTGATTTAACTGATGTCTTTTTAAAGTCCCCAGGTCTAGGTCAATTCCAAATGAATGCTTTTTGTCTCCCTGTGTTTTCTCTCTTAGGTGTATTTGCCAAAGAAAATACTATACATAGGAAACTATAACCTACTCAAATATGGGTCTCAGTATTTTTTATAGCAGCCAACACTTAAAATACAAACACAGGGTATCCATTAGTGTTGGCGCTTGCTGTTGGCAGCCTGGAAACTCTCTCTCTTCTCGTACTAACTGTGTGATTTTGTTTGGTGTTGTCTTAACAAAACTCCCTTCCCAATACTGTTAGTAGATAAAATGTTGTTTGAGTTAACATTACCCATTGTGTGTTTTGGCCTTAGTTACAGCTGATAATTCTTAGAAGTAAGAAGTAGGAATGAACTGATTATTTTTACAGGTTTTAAAATGGAATTTGTGTAATCTAAACTAACTAAAGATTTTTTAAGATACAGAGTTCTTTTTTCTCTTTGAAGAGTTCAGCAAAACTCATTCAGGCTTTTTAAATTTTCTTTATATTCCTGAATTTGTAAAGCAGTAATTAGTACGGTAAGAGGAAATTCTGTATGTAGCCCACATTGTCAATCACGAAGTTAGGTGGCTTTTTTGTTTCATCTGTAAGATTTTCTGTTTAGTTTTGATTAAGAAGAAGCTATAAAGAAGGCATATAACCATGCTTCTTGGCATTCGTTATCTCTTCCAAAGTCTCTCTTTGGTGTAAAACAAAAATTGGAAAGAAAACCTAAGGCAGTTTAAATATTACGTATAACTCCTTATACATGTCTTAACATCCCAACTGATTGCTAAGACCTGTAGTTGTTGCTACAAGTTGGTTTTTTTTAAACGCATTCTGTTCCACAATTATTCACCAGCGGTCATTTTCCCCTGTGTTTTTTTCTTTGAAATGTTGGCTCTTTTGCTTTAACCTATATATGTTTCCCATACCTACATTTTGGAAAGTTGCCTTTGATTTGATGGCTTAAAATTCATAGACCTGTTACCACTAAGTTTAATAATTTTTCACAGATTTAGTCTGCCACTTCTTTTCATGAGAGGGTTGGTTCTTAGAATAAAGCACCTTCAAGAATGATTTTAAATATTTATTAGTATGTCTGTGAAATTATGTTCTATTGTACCAGCATCTTCTCGATGTGTGTTTTTTTAGTCCTTAGAGGAAAGTAAATCATGACAATTTAAAAATTATGACAGCCTTAAAGTGAGTTGGCATAAAAGTTTACATGTTTAAACTTGTACAACTTTGGTTTTATGACTGCCTTGATACTGATTTACCGCATTTCTTCAAGAAAATATCATTGAAAATTTAAATGATTCAAACTGAGTTTTATTCTCAGAATATTTTTTGTGCTTGATGAGGCAGCATGTAACATAAAATTTAAAAAGATGGAAAGTCAGTTAAATTTTACTGAGTTGAGTGCCTAGGTATTATTTATTCAATATATGAAACCAAATTCATATGTGTGTGTCTGAGTATAAATGTTATCCCCCTAACATTTGAAGTAAGCAATGCACACTTCTTACACATTATAACGTAGTGAATTTATAGGCTAATTGTGGTACACATGTAAAATCTATTTCATAACATAAATATGTTAAATGCCAACAATAACAAAAGCAGACCTTCACTATATTAGCCATTTCATACTTCATTTTGCGACATCTGATAAATCAAGTCTCCTTATCTGCCCCTCACTCCACGTGTACCATGGCCTTAATGTGTCATAATCTGTTAATCTCTCCATCATTCATGGTTCACATTGAGAGTTTCGATGTTTGATTTTTAACACAGAATAAATCAAAGTTTTACAGATGAAATTTAGCTAATAGAGCCATTTTGTAGATAAAGAAGTTTAATGGTGTCCATTTGTGAAGCGATAATGTTTGCTTATCAATCCTTGAAAAGTATTTTCTAAATCACTTAATTTTCAAATATTTGCAATTATCTGGTTAATGTACTTGGCTGATTTCCTTTTCCATTTAGTAGAGCAACCCTGTCTCACCTTTCTTTTCGTTGCTTTCTCACAGGCTCATGATCGTTCAGAAAGTGGAGAATTGGCATTTATTAAACAACTAGTTCGAAAGATCCTAATTGTTATTGCCCGCCCAGCTCGGTTATTGGAGTGCCTGGTAAGTTGCCCCTAGAGGGAACTCCATTATTTATTGTTAATTGTGGGAAAGCAGTGACCATCAGAAACCTCCAGTTTCATTTGGCTTCAAAGACCAGAGTTAAATGGAAAGAGTCCACAGGAGCTACAACTTGTGAATGTTTATGAGCACATCCCCATGTGATTTTGTTTTCTGGTTTTAAGTAAAAATTCTAGGACTTGTGCTGTATTGAATGATAATCATATCACATTCTGTTCGAAGTGGAAATATCATCGTGAACTAATGGGCTTAATCTTATCTCAGCACCATTACTGTGTGACAGCTCATTTAAAACACCTGCTGGGCCTCACTTTTTTGGAGTTGGCAAGATGCAGAGAGAGGGAAATCAGAGAGAGGGTTTATCATAACCTGCAGTTACTGGTATTTGTTCTTAAAATGCGGCACGTTAGAAACAGATGCTCGGCAGCAACCCACTTGGGAGAGTATAGTAGCGTCCCATATAGACTGGAAGAAGAGAAACTTTGAGAGATGAGTTCATTTTGTCCATTATATTGTCCTTGGTCATTTTCCTACTTTACAATTTTTCTTTCATGTAATTTTGGCTAAAATTTCAGTCCACACTGTGAACAAATATGAAGCTTTGAAGATAAGACTAGTTTTAAGGGGCTTAACATAGTATCAGCACTCACTTTTAAGTTCTGCTAGCCATTAAAGTATTGGTAACACTCCATGCAGTATGGCTTTTCAGAATTATACATTCACACATATACATATAGGGTGGTATTGCTAGGGTTTTGACCTTATTTTGATTAGCATGCATAGCTTTTTATAATAGTGAAATGTTCACAAGCCCCATAAATATATACCAATGCACGGCGAGTCATGTGAGAAGGGAAATCTTAAGGAAACAGGGAGGGGCATGGTGGAGTAGGTGTTTCCATCAGTGGCCAGGACCCTTAGAGCCACAGATTCAAAAGCACCATTTGGCATTGTCTCTGGAAGGATAAAGGGGAACAAATACTCTGGGAGAACCGTGTGACTGGCAAATGTAGGCAAAAGGAAGTCTCATTTTGTACTACGTCTCCCATTGTACTTTTTTTGAATTATGCACCACATGTTTGTACTTCCTGTATTTGTTTCATTTGGGGGAAAAATCGCATTTAGCATTAAAACTTGTTTCTCTGGACAGCCACAGATATGCTAATAGAAGATTTTGCCTTAAAAGAGGAAATGAATTTTTTTCAGTAATCCCTCCTCACCAGAAGTGAAAAAGTAAAAGTATAACCTTTCAGGGATAGAAACAGGTGAACTTAAGAGTAGAATTGAAAATGTTACTGTTCTCAGCACTATTAAAGCTCAAATGAAACTGGAGCTTCAGAGTTTGAGGGATTGGTTTCCAACCAGTGGTCTTAGGCCTGCTGTTTCAGGCCTGCGCTTTGTGTCATTGTAGGTTTCTAAAAAGGGCACTGAGTGTATATGTTGGTTTTGACTTTCCTCCATTTGCAGTGAGATTTTTTTTTTTACATGGCCTTTAGAAACCCTTGAGTGATTCTTAGGTGAAATGCTGATATTCTAAAGTTGTCTAGTTGGGATATTAATCAAAATGGGAAACATCTTGAGGGGATAAAATCTAGGAAATTTAACTAAAAATAGCCTCTGTGGTTTAAATCTGCAAACATAATTGTATACAACAAGTAAACCCATGACATAGATTTAGAGTGATAGAACTCTAAAGATTTTTATTACATCCTAGAAGTAGCAACCAAAGAGAATAAAATACATAGGCAAAATGTGCTACCAAATTTTAAAAATAGACACAGGTAATAGCATTAGTTTTGTAATTTTTTCTTTCTTAATCTTCACATACCATGAATATTAATTTTAGAACGTACTGATAAAAAGTGGTAATTTTGATATTTAAAAAAAAATACTTTTGTACCCTTTTCTAATAATGGAGTTTCCTGTAAAACCTTTGAGAATATGGATTCTAGCATTATTCCTTTTGAGGCTGTTTATGCAAAGAGAGAAACTGAATCTTCTGGATGAGATTTTGGATTTAAAAATTTTACTAAAAAAAGCATTATTTGAATTTTAGACATGTTCATTTTCAATAAGATAGCAGTAGGATATCTTCAAGGTTGCATTTTAAGGAAATTGGAAGTGGTTCCTCTATGAGTTACCAAGGACATGCATGCATTGCCTTAGAATATGAAAGCCTTCAAATATGAAATAAGAATTGCGTACTTTTTAAAAAGTCATTTGCTTCCTTCCTGCATAAATAACCCACAAATGTGTATATTGAGCAAATTTGATTGTGAGAGGAATTTATGTAATAAAACCTCAGAGAATTTTGGCTCAAATAAGTATACATCTGTGTTTGTCTTCTGCTAGGAATTTGATCCTGAAGAATTTTACTACCTATTGGAAGCAGCAGAAGGCCATGCAAAAGAAGGACAGGGTATTAAAACCGACATTCCCAGGTACATCATTAGCCAGCTGGGGCTCAATAAGGATCCTTTGGAAGGTACGTACCTTGGTTGGGCTGACCTTTCACTTGACTGTGCACTACGACTTCAGACAAGAGCTTAGCAAGTCTTTACTTTTTCCACATGATTTAGCTTCGTCTGTTGAAAAGTACAAATTTGGGGAACCAGTTGTGCTTTGAAGAAAGAAAGCAGCCCTTCACTATAGGGTTCACAACTCACTACGTTGAGTCCCAAAGAGCGGGTGAACCTGACCCATTTTGTGTTCCACCTAGAGTGTGGGGCTAAGCCCTTGAAATCCCAGAGGTCTGTCAGCCTGACAATACCACAGCATCCTGAGAGGGTTCAGATTACAGCCTTCTCTGAGTATTTTTTCTCTTGCGAAGCTCAGTAGGGTTCTTCTCAAGTGTACTTTTAATTTTGAAGATGTTGCTAAAGAAATTAATTATAATTAATTTAAAAGTGACATTTAAAGTAATTGGGGAGTAATGCAACTGATAATAGATTTAGACGAGGCACAGTGGTGGTAGGTAGATTTTTGCATGTAACAAAAAATTGTGAATAATGGTAATATACAGGAAGGCCAGTGGGGGAAAATGTTTCTGAAAGCTTACAGGTCTAATGTTATTAAATACACAGAAGACTAAGCACCTTGTTAGTGGTTTTTTAAAAATCTAATACCAGTAAACTACTCCTCTGCCCCCAACCCTTTCCTGCTCTCTGTTATTTGGATTAGCCTTTAAAACACTTGTTACATACCGCCTAGAAAGAGTCAAAAGCAATCAAAGACCCCTTCATTCGAAATCATCTTCCTGGTTCTTAAAATTGAATTTGCAAACAGCGTTTATCTTGCTAAATTGTTTGTAATGATGGTAACTGTTGGCACAGATATTTTCCCATCTAAAGCCCAGGAACCTGCTGCTCTCCTGTTTCCCCCGCTTTGTTTGCTCTTACGGCCATCGGATCTTTGCTTCCAGTGAAATGATGCATGCATTCCTGGGAGATAATGCCAGATAAATTTATATTGTCCTGAAAGCAGTACCACATCAGATTCATCACTTATCAGAGGCTGGTGGCTGCTTTTCCTGAAAAGTTCCCTGGGGAGAGATTTTTTCCCCATGGCTTTTAAATTACCATCTTTACCTTTTTGAATCATGAGTCTTCAGAAATGGTTTAAATCAATGAAATAAAAAGGGCAGATGTTTAATGGTATTTAGATGAGTTTTAAAAATCTCTTCAGGCATTGCAAAACGATACCTTAGCTTCCTGCTTCAAAAGCTGACTCCTGGTTCCATTCCATTACTACTCACTGCTTGCAAATAATATGTATTTCCCAGATAGTAGTTATTTAGCAGAAATCCTATTTAAAACAGCCATCTTTTAATTTGTTTTTTTTTTTAAGAAAATAATTGGAGTGGGGAGGCTGTCAAAGTATATTAGAGTGACTGTTCACGCTGGCAGAGTTGAGGTTGGTTCAGCCCTTGAACTGTAGCGCGAGTGGGCTCTTTGCAGTTTTCTTAACCCGGCAGTAAAGATCACTGTGGGCTGAACTTTGGTAGGTGAATCATCTGAGGCCCATTTATGTGCCTTTCTAGAGACTCTAAAAAAAAAATCTTAATGGTGATCTTGGACAAGTTTTGAGTTTAGTGATACAAATTTATCGCTGGGAGTCGTGTTTTTAACTCTTTTTTTTTTTTTTTTAAATATTTTATTTATTTATTTGACAGAGATCACAAGTAGGCAGAGAGGCAGGCAGAGAGAGAGAGGAGGAAGCAGGCTCCCTGCTAAGCAGAGAGCCTGATGCGGGGCTCGATCCCAGGACCCTGAGATCATGACCTGAGCTGAAGGCAGAGGCTTAAACCACTGAGCCACCCAGGTGCCCCGTGTTTTTAACTCTTGATGCTTCCATATTCTTGATTCCGATCTGACGGTGATTTTTTATCTCTTTGTTACCCCTTAACATGCCATAATTTAGACTCCCATCTACATTTATTACCCCTTCTTGTCAACATTTACACTAACAGACCTACAGCCTGAGCTTTGAAGGTTGGGGGGTAAGGGTGGGGAGTGGAAAAGCTCAGGTCTGCACCCTGGCCCCAGCCCTGTGGGCCATGACCTTGACCCTGCAGCTGATGAGCCTTTGTGCCTCAGTATTCTTTCCATAAAACCAGGGAAATGGGACCTATTTGTAGAGTTGTTTTTAGGATTATAGGAGTTCATCTCTCTCCCCAAGATGCAGTAATGCGTAATAAATTTTAGGTACTGTTGCTCTTTTGTTTAAAAGATATTAAAATCCATCTTATCCTCAAGAGTCCCTGAGAGTGAATACATTTGCGCCCACCTCCCAGTCCCCAATCTAAAGTGCCCATCATACAGGAAGTTGACATCGCTTGAATGACACTAAGAAATCACCTGGTTTGTACTGAGCTCATTTTTATTTTTGAATTTCCCCTACTGGTAAATTAGGAAAGTTAGTGTCAGTCTTCAGTTATTTTAGATTCTGGAGTTTGTTGGTTTTTATCCGAAGACAACACTCCAGTGTTGTTTTGTTTCATGTCTTTTATGGGTAATCTCTCCCAAAAAGGATAATGATATTGCTAAGAATATGAATACATGAAATGAGAGTCTAAGGACTACTTTTAGATGCATACAAAAATAGGTAACTAAAAACTATAACTTTTGCATAAGTTACTATATATATAATTTAGTATACATGTTCAATTTTGAAAAATTAGAAAATGTAAGTACCTATGATCTTACCACTCAGAGATAACTAACTCCCCGTCAGCATTTTGGAGAGAAATCCTTCATGTTCTTTTTAATTAAACACTTTTTTTTTCTTTAAAAATAAAAATTAAAATGAACAATTAAATGAATTAGGTTTCTTCGTTTACTTATATAGACTCAGAGATGCATTCCATTGTAGACTGAGAAGTTAAATGCCGTTTTCTTTTTCTTTTTTCTTTTTTTTTTTTTTTTTTAATTTTATTTTGGTTTTGTCTCTTAACTAGACCACCAGGATAGTACTTAAGCTGGTGTCAGGCATGTGGCATCCAGCCCAGGATTGACTAACTTACAGGATGTAACTAATAATCGTAAATAAGCATCAATATTAAGTGAACACTTCACTTTTGTTAGTCGATGTGCTAAGAGCCCTACAGGAATATCCTGTATCATACTTACAAGAAACTCTCAGACATGAATACGTTGTTCCCATTTTACAGAGGGGAAAGCCTGTGGGTGAAAGGTCCCTAGGATGTGCTGATCATGGTGGTGTGCTGAGTCTTTTTGTTGTCCAGCCCCTCTCAACAACTACTACTATTGCAAATTCTTCATATACTAGGCAGGGGATATCGCTCAGTGGCTGCAAAGAAACAGAATGAGGAATATTCAACCTCAAGTTGAGGATCATCTCTGAGCTGGAGTCAGTGCGACTTCGATGCCTGTCTGAGCCTGGGAAGACGTGCCTCTCTTGAGAACCCGATGATAAGAACAGTTATTACATACACACCCCTGCCCCCCAACCCTAAGTTTGTGTTGGCCAATCAGTCCTGCTAGCTCAAGCAGAGGCCCAGCTCTGAAGTACTTAGGATCTAGGTGTTCGTGAGAAATGGGGTTCCAGGGAAGGGCATGTCCTGAACAATTTCCAGAATGTCAGTTATCAGGTCTTGCCATTTTTGATTTAAGATTTTCCCATGCGTACATTGAAGTATAGAGTAATTTTTTTTTTTTTTTTTAGTATTGAAGAAGTTACTTCTTGTCTAGTTGAAATTGTCCTATTCTCTTAAACCTTGTTTTGTTTTGTTTTTTTAATTTAGAAATGGCTCAGTTGGGAAACTATGATAGTGGGACAGCAGAAACACCAGAAACAGATGAATCAGTGAGTGTAAGTATCTTTCTCAATGATATATGGTGTTGGTTTTTCTGTTTATCAGCTTCTGGAGATTTGCAGTGTGTCAATAACTTTATTTCTCTCATAAACATGTGTTGTGCTTCTATGTGCAAGGCAGTAAGCATATAATTTTAGCCCCTCTTTCCAAAGAGAAAGAGATTAATAAAAAGAAACCATACACAAAAAATAAAAATGATAAACTCGAAGAAGATGTACAAAGAAAAAGGGCCCTGTGCTACTAAAACATAACATTGACAGAGAGTGACCTCAGTCTTCCCAATCCAAAAAGACCTCCTGAGGAAATGGCCCAGGAGCTGTGGCATGAGAAGTTACTAGGGTGAGAAGCGCATGGAGGGAACATTCCAGGCCCAGGGCACAACCTGCACAAAGACTGTCACAAGGGATCAGAGTGCATCTGAGGGTAAGGGCAAGGAGATCATAGAGACTGGAGAGCTGCGAGCAAAAACCAGACATAGAGGTCCTTACTGTTCATCTTTGTCAAATCTTTTCTTTCAAAGAATGGTGGGAAGCTATTGAACTTGGGAAGAAATGTATGTGTTTGTGGGGTGGGGACAGATGGACAGGAAGATGACCCAGTCAGAGTTACAGCTTAAAAACAATCTTACAACGGCAGTATAGATCACAGATGGGGCGAGGAGGGGCAGATAGGGGTGACCATGGAGAAGCCACTCAAGAGGCTTGGCAGTGGCCCAAGGAAGTGTTCTGGGATATTGGTGCCATTGTCCCTAATTGTGAACACCAGAAGGGGAACCAGGCTGAAGCAAGTTGGGGGTGGTCAGGAAAGAGAGGCAGCTGTGTAGCTTGGGGGCTAAGGCTCTAGAGTAAGATGGCCTGGATTTGAAAGCTGGGTGCATCTCTCACTAACTGTGGGCATCTTCTCTGTGCCTCAGTTTCCTCTTCTGTAAAATAAATATAAAAGGTGACAAAATAATAAATGAGATAATTTATGTGAAATGGTTAGATCAGCAACATTACTACATGCTAAATAAATGATAGTTGTTTTGTTAACTTTATCCTAATTATTATAATTTTGAATTTTATATTACATTATATATATTATATAATTATAATTTTGAATATAATAATATAATAATAATAAAAATAAAATTATAATATTATAATTTTGAATAAGTGTAGACTTAAGTTTTTGGGGGACATTCAAGAAGAGCCATCACACTAGCATCCGTATACATGGTGTGGGATCTCCCGGCACTTGGAGGGTTTTTGGTGGAGTTCTGAATGAGGTAGGAGTCATCCGTGGGCATGAATGAGGTCCCCTGGGTGGGGAAGAGTTAATGAGACAGGTGGGCCTTGGACAGGATCTTTGAGTCCAAAGCTTCAGAGCCCCATCAGAGTGGAATGGTGGGACAAGTGAGTGGTTCCAGTCTTGAATTATGTCCTCTGAGATAGGGCGTTAGCAGTGATGACTAGACCCCAGGGCCCATGGCCAGAAACCTAGGTGAAATAGAGAAGAAGAAGAGTGGTTTGGTTAAGCAACAAAGAAGCCCAGAGGCCACTGCATGGCCCCTGAAGTCATCCAGGATAGTGAGAGAAGCATAGAGGAAGGTGGGAAGCTGGGTACCCAGGTCTTCCTTCAATAAATGGGACAGTGTGTCAACTGATGACAGCATCCAGTGGGGGAGGGTGACAAACACCTCAGACTCATGGGGTTTCTTCCACAATTACAGGAAAGAACTCTGGGGGCTCTGCAGAAGGAGCAAAGAGGCTGTCCATGCTCATCCTCTCAATCCTAAGATATGTGGAGTATGAAAGTATATTTCCAAAACAAACAAACAAACAAACCCATTTTACTTATTATTACCCTTTGAACTCAACTTTTTAAAGAAATGTCTTTTTGAGAATAGATATCTAAACCATGGTAAGACTAATGATGTAGAAGTCAGGAGAGGCACGCATTGCCTCATTGTTGCTGACTACCTTTTCCAAATAAGAAGGGTTGCCACGAAGAACAGACATCCTCTGATCAGGGACAGAAATGCTGCACCAGCTGTCCTTCCATGTAGAGCCACGGTGGCCCCTTTCTGTTCTGACTGAAATTAGAGTTAGGGTTTGATGTTTTGGACTTAATCTCAAAACTTGAAAAGATTGGGATGAGGCTAGCTTGAATAGTTTACAGAGGTAAATTCAAGTTGGAAATTTTTTTAAAAGATTTTATTTATTTTTTTGAGTGAGAGAGAAAGAGTATGAGCAGGGAGAGGGACAGAGGGAGGGAAGCAGGCTCCCCACTGAGCAGGGAGCCCAATTTGGGGCTCGGTCCCAGGACCCTGAGATCATGACCTTAGCTGAAGGCAGAGGCTTAACCAACTGAACCACCCTGGTGCCTCCAAATTAGAAATTTTCAAAAACTTGGTGCCTTCGTCTCCCAGAAATGGGGGTTCACTTAAACTAGACTGAGGCTCCGTCATGACAGGCAGTCTCTCAGCACCGCCCTGCAGAACTCAACTTGAAAGCTGTGTGCCAGCTTCCTTTGGCTCGAATATTGCCCTTCAATAGATTCAACACCAGAGCATAGAATGCGAATGTTATTTGTGGTACTATTAAAACCATTTTCTTGAATTCTCAACTCTCCTAACTTCCTTATTTTGTTTCCAAGAGCTCTAATGCTTCCCTGAAACTTCAAAGGAAACCTCGGGAAAGTGATTTTGAAACGATTAAATTGATTAGCAATGGAGCCTACGGGTGAGTAATTCAAGAAAGCTCTCTATTGTATTTTAACACACCTGAGTAATATAGTCTTCGCATTTATCCTAGGCCAAATAGACGTCATTAGGGACTTGAGTTTTCAGTTCATTGCTCCTCCACTGGTGGGTATAATATGCAGCCCAAATCGTTTTTCATTTAGATACTCCATCAAGAAAGCCTATCAAGTGACCTGGAGTTATTTTAGAGGTATGGAGGAGACTTTATAAAGTAAAGGTAAATTTTTATATATACCTGTTTCTGCTTCCTTTATTGTGCCCTTTGGGTGCAGAAATACCTGATTCTCGGTCGTATATATGCATACACACATTTCTATCTGGATATATATATATAATCTATATCTCTGAAAACATGTAAATTCATATATAGCATCACTACTTAAGAGTTAGCTGGTACTTCCTCTCTGACCGCCAGTCAGTCTGGTGAGAGAAGTACTTAAATGAGAAGACTGCTTGAAAATTTAAAGCAGTATATTTCCCTCAGTCTTTATATTATACCAGCATTATGTTTTGCTTTTCAGCTGAAGTCCGTGTTCTAATCTGGTCACATAAGCGATGCCCCCTTCTTGCTTCATATTTAGAGACACAGGGTTTTCCTCTCAGGGAGTAGGAAGGGTCAGTGGTGACGAGATCCTGCTGAATTACTAAGAAACAGTTAGGAAGGGTAATTAATACACATCCCGTGTCCTGATCCGTTTTAGACAGCCCAAGAGCTCTAGTTTAATTAAGTATTAATCTCAATTCCATCTGTATATGGAGAGCAATAAACAATCCCATAGACATTTATTGCCATTTATCACACAGATGAGCAGATGAGATAAAGTGATTTTTGTTATGCCACAAGGGATGTTTCTCCTTATGACTTTTTTTTGTCTCCAATATTTTCCACACCATTAACTTTGTGAAGAACTTAAATAGTTGTGAGTCCTTTCTGTGCTTCGCTGATTTATTTCCAGGATTATATCAAATGGTATATTTCTTGATGTGGCATGTAAATGTTTTCTGATGTCCTATTTTCACAACATTGTCTTTCATTCAAGGGCCTCGTGGAAACATTATCCCCTAAGAAAATTGATTTAGCATACAATCATTTGTGAGTTTTGTTTGTTTCTTACTTGGTTGTAGTTCCTGTTGGTTCTTGAGATCCTCCGAGGATTTCTTCCTTCATTAGGGGAAAAAAACGGGTCTTTGATTTAATGGGTCTCTGGGTTGGAGCACTGATAGATTTTATTGACAGTGGAATTCTAGAATAAGATGATCTGTGAAGCACCACTTTTATCAAATTTGGGCATATATCTTAGCAGTATTTGGAGTTCTAATTGGTTGAGTAAACTCATTTGTAGTGCAATTAAAGCGCTGTCTCGTAGATGAGGTATATCACACTTCAGGGACTGGTTGGGAATATACAAGAAGTTAAACAAGCTGTGAATCGGTAAACAGCCCGGATGCAGGCCAAGTCATTAATGGGCTGACAAGCTGCCTGCGGGAACTTCTGCCCAGCAGCCAAAACTTCTTTCCCTCTTTTGCTCTCCTCAGATTTAATCTCCCATTACATTTCTGACAGATTTCCCCTTCGTTTTAATTCTTTTTAATTTAAAATCCGAATGGCCCTAAACCCATTGGTCTACCCAGTCAGGATGCTGACGGCAGGCTTACGGAACCTGGCTGAACGCAGGGATGCTTCTCTGGGTGGATGAACTGAGGCTGTTGGAGGTTTCCTTGGCGTTTGTGTTAAAGTCCGCCCCTCACCTTGGTGGCTTCGAGTGACCCTGATTCTGAGACTTGGTGAAAATCGCCTGTGCTGGAAACTAACGCTGTCATTAGAAGGAGCTAAATAACACATCAGGGTTTTCTCAACATCATACTTAGTGACAGTTCATGTTGTAAACCCAGTCTGCTAATTTGATATCGTCCAGTCTCCTCCACTGAGCGCTGCTTTATATATGCTTCCTTCTCGCGAGAGCCCCGTGTGCTGTTGATGTTATTTCCGCCTAGACGTGGGGAAACAGGGGCTCAGAGGCACGGCTGGTCACAGGTGTGCTGATTCCAAGCAGTGTTCCTCCCTTCTCCGATGCTGCTGTTGCAACTTGGAGCCGTCTTTTCTTGATTCCACCTGGACTTTTAAACAACAGCTTTGGATGTTTTCAGAGTGAAAGAGTAAAATTGACTTGATTAAAAAAAAATTAAATTTGAAAGGCACAACATTTCCGTCCCACTTTGCTTTTGGTTTCTAGCTTTGCTGTACATCGTTCTCTTTGACGCCTCAAAAGATGGGGTCATTTATGCCACAGACGCATGTGCGTAGGTTGGTGGCCACAGCTCTCTCCCTACAGCCTTTCCTCTAACACGTTCACTCTTGTTCGCATGTACAGATTTGCTCGCACAGATTCATGTCCTGGGCTTTCGGGTTTACGCATTATTTTATACGCATGAGACACACTCCGGAGAGGACCGATTCATTCTGTCCTAGAGCCCATCAGCTTTTGATTCCATTTCTCTCTACCCTCCCACTCCTCACTTCTGCCTGGGGTGAAAAAAAGCTTGACTGAGAGAGGACAGGTACCGGGCTCCGTGCATCATCCCCCGCCCTTGGGTTCTACTATTTACCAGGCAGATCAGTGTAGGAAAAGAGACAGAAGCAGCCTTTCTTTCAGGCCAAACTGCAGAGAAATGAGGGGCTGAGTCAGTTCAGCCCAGTTTTATAACCTTGGATGGTGTGTGGCTGTGCTTAGCAGTGTTAGATGTCTTGTCCGTCAGCCAGCTTCCGTCTTTCTCTTTGTTTCAATCCCTCTCACCCTCTCTCTGCTGAATTAAGTCAATTTGGAACATCAGCTTTCAGGAGAGGAAGGAGGGTGTACACGAGAGAGGACAATTACTGCTCAACAACCAGATTTCAGCATTAAGAAGACTATTCCTAAGGCAGTAAAGAACTGTAAAAACAAGAACATAAAACAAAGAGATAAGTAGCTACAGCAGATTCTAATTAAGAAGCCTAGTTGACTTTTGCAACTTGATCAAGATATGAACATCCCTGGGCAGTGATATCTCAAGCTACCTATAGGATTAATTTCTGTGGGTGTAGGTAAATTTCCCTAGGCATTGACTGATGATGTTAAGCACATCCTAGTAAGGCAAAGCAAAAAGTCATGAAGTTTTATAAATTGCAAGTCTGAGAGTAAAGGTATGGGTCCTTCCTCATTCACAGTGCTCCTGGGAAACCTAGTCCGGATGCCAGTCAAACTGGGCCTGAAGCCTCTTTCTCCTTTGTTCTTTCATTAAATGGCGGAAGGCTGTTCTTCCTTCCCCACTTCCTGTTATTCTCAGACATACTGCTGAGCAGTTTTCTATGTAAGAAACACTGATAGTTGATTGAAAATCCCATGGCAGCCCTATGACAGTCTACAAGTGAGGTTCCTAGTATCATGTCTGGAGGGTCCTCAGTGCAACATCTACTCGGTGTGAAATATTCAAAGAGAGAGAACATGAGCTGTATTCCAGTTGACTCTCGGTAGTAGGCAAGCACTTATGTAAAGATACTGGTTTTTTTCAACATTTCAAATTCTATTAGCAATAATCACGCCTCGGATAAACCTCATTGGCTACGATACTGCCACTGCGCAAAGCTTAACATTTCAAATTCTAAATTTCATTTTAAAAGGTAAATTCCCTGTTTCAGAAATTCCTCTTCGTAACAATAATTGCTCCCCAGTGTTTGTCTTCTGTTTCTGAGTAAGTCAGGTTATTTTCTGTGCTCCCTTTGTATCTGTCTGTCCACCGTCCAACATCTGATTAGGGGAAGCTCAAGGTTTTTGGGGGATCTTGATTGTATCCAGTCAGTATTTGGAAAAAGAAAAATAGTGTAAAAGTCTTTGATCCAGAAAGAAGTAGTAGTTGGTTGGTTAAATTGGTCAGAGTCGGAAATCATTAAAAAAAAAAGATGTGTATACTTTAAACATACTTTTAATTTCAGATGCATCCTGAAATTAAACATTTCAGTATACTCTAAATATATATAAATTCAGAGGTGCCTGGGTGGCTCAGTCAGTTAAGCATCCGACTCTTGATTTTGGCTCAGGTGACAATCTATAGGTTGTAAGATCCAACCCCATGTCCTGCTCTGTGCTGGGCATGGAGCCTGCTTGGGCTTCTCTCTCTCCCTCTCCATCCCTCCCACCCACCACTCATGTACTCTCTCTCTTCAAAAAAGAAATGATAATCATACACACACACACACACACACACACACACACGTGTGTGTGTGTGTGTATATAATTTTAGTAGTTCTCTGATATAAGGCCTTTTGAGGACAGCCTATATAAACCATCTTTTTTTTTTTTTTAAAGACTTTATTTATTTATTTGACAGGCAGAGATCACAAGTAAGCAGATAGGCAGGCAGAGAGAGAGAGGGGAGGAAGCAGGCTCCATACCCAGCACAGAGCCCAATGTGGGGCTCGATCCCAGGACCCTGGGATCATGACCTGAGCCGAAGGCAGAGGCTTTAACCCACTGAGCCACCCAGGAGCCCCAATAAACCATCTTTCTAATACATTGTTTTTGTTTTCTACTTTTTGCTACTTTAAATATGAAGCAGGAACTTGAAGCAATCTGCATGTAGGAATCTAGACTGTATTATTTTTCCCACTTTTGAAAACCTTCTGACCCATACTAAATCAATAGGATTTTTATTTAGTAACTCACATTTAACATATCTATCAGTACTTTCCAAAGCATTCCATTTTTTTTTTAATAAACAACGAAGTTTTTCCTTTTTATACTCCTGTTTCATTGGTTTAAATATTTGTTTAAATTAGTTAATCCTGATATCAAGCCTCATCAGAAAAACAGGTGTAGGAATAAACCCCAGCTGGTGAGAGCCCCAGCATTTGACATCCTGAAGAAGACTGCTAGCCTGTGCAGAAAGTGTTGGCCACCCAGCTGGCCAGCTCCCCCTGTCAGTTTGTGGTACAGTGGAAATAACAGCGCTAGATTCTTCCTTGAGTTGGTTATATAAAGTGTGGGTAAAAGAGATTTTTTTTATACAATGAAGGAAATAAGAGAAGACCAAAGAAATATTGGGGTGGGGGGGAGAAGTAAAGCAAAAAAAAAAAAAAAAAAAAAAGGTAAGGTTTAAACAGAGACCCCCCCCCAAAAAAAAAAATGATTTTGCAAGTGAAGGAGAAAGATGGATACAGTGAAAAGGCAAACATACAGAGTTGGAAAAAAAAAAGAATTTCTACTTGAACAGTTGGGAGGAACATGTGAATATCAGTTAAACTGAGATTGAATATACTTCAGATTTATGTAAGTGGATTTTACTCTGGGAGATTGGTTCACCAGGGACTTAGAGGGTCATAGTCCTCTTTGCATTCAGTTTTCATGAGCAGTGAAAATGAGCAGTGGAATATGCATTTCAGATCAGATAACCCCTTGTTTTAGGATACAGACGTTGGACATCCTTTACTGTGAGTGATTGCTGTTTAGGTAAATTATTATTTATTTGAGCATTTCCTAACCTGAGAGCTCACATCTGTTCCACAATAATGCCAAGTGAGGAGTAACTTAGGAGAAAATGAGCCAGTGGAAGATACTTTCCTTGTTGCTCATCATTGCCAGGTGAGGTTTTAAGCCTCCTCCTCCTCTTGACTGGTTTCTTCCACATCAAGCTTCAAAGAGTCCATTGTCTTTACCCAGCCAGAATTGGTTCTCTAGAGTATGTGCATGAGTGCAGCCTCCTCATTTTACAGTAAAGTTGGCTGTCACCTTGGCCATGGGTCGGATGGACGAGTGTATTATTGGCTTCCTTTTATGTTGGGAAATGCATTTTCTGTTGAAACAGCCATAGGTGTAAATCATATTGATGTGTGTAGTGAGGAAATACACTACTCTCCATTGCAGGACAGCCTTACATGACCTATTACATACTTCTCATTTATCTGGAATTCCATGGGGAGTAAATTACCCTAAAGTTGGAAGCCACCTACCCTAAGAAGCTTTGGTCCTTTTTGTAGATCCCAAGGGTACCATATAGAAAATTACCGCTTTAGTCAGTCTAGAAAAAATGCCTAACATATATCTAATGCCTGAAAGGATATAGCTCATGGTTGTATATGTCCTTTTTGAAATTCTTTTCCCGCTCTGACTTATATATTGAATTTTGCTTTGTTTGTGGAAGAACTGAAAATATTGGTTAGTTCTTGGAAAATAGCTCATTCTAGAGACTGTCCATTTCTGTCCTTGCGGTGAAGATGAATTTGAAGCCTTATGTGTGACCAATGACATTTAGCGAAAGAATAAGAAATAAATAAATGTAGCCATAAGATTTTGGCCTCGAGTGGGATGTTTGTAGCTGCTAGGATAGTGTGTGTGAGCTGAATTCCAGCGGCCATGTGAATGCAAAAAAAAAAAAAAAAAAAGAAAGAAAGAAGAAAAGAAAAGCTGGCCATCACATGGTTTACTGTATCCAGAAGCATCATCACTTCCCGTGAACCCCAACTCTTGTGCTCCTTTTCAGGGCAGTCTACTTTGTGCGGCATAAGGAATCCCGGCAGAGGTTTGCTATGAAGAAGATTAACAAGCAGAACCTCATCCTCCGAAACCAAATCCAGCAGGCCTTCGTGGAACGGGATATCCTGACTTTCGCAGAGAACCCCTTTGTCGTCAGCATGTACTGCTCCTTTGAAACAAGGCGCCACTTATGCATGGTCATGGAATACGTGGAAGGTAAATCAGTGTCTGACACAGAAAACATGACACCTGTACCCAGAAACCACTGGCTCCTTTGTGCAGTGGAGGCCTTCCCTGTTGGGCTGCGGAATGGTTGTAGCCACCTAGGAACTGAAGCCAGGCAATGAGATGGCTGTATTCCCAGTCATCATCTTCTGATAATTGCTTGTAGAGTGCCTGCTCTACTATAACAAAGGGAAAATTAGTGCTATTTGGAAGAAGGTTGTTTTTCTTTTTTAATAGCTTTTAATCCTAACTACCTTCTCTCAATTGGTCATTAAAATTAGAATGTAGGTGATGGGATTTTTTTCCTACTTACTTTTATCACATAGCATAAAAGCATTCATTACAATTGATCTTCTTAAAGAATGAATTAAAAATACATCCATTTTTGGTCTATGGTGTGAAATTAAAAATGAGTTAGGGGAAAAGAACATACAAGTCAAGAAAATTTAACTTTTTTTTTTTACGTTTATGGCTTACCTTTTAAATATTTTTTAATATTTTTATTTCCTTCCATTTTACATTCAATTTCTGCATTTTTGGCCATGACTTATTGACATAAACTAGGTTAATAAAAGGAATATTTCAGGAAGGGCCAAAACCATCTGCAGAGCATCTAATTTAGAGCATCTAATTTAAGCTCTAAAACTTACAGGAGCAGAACCCCAAAACTATAAAACTCGAAGAAACGTTAAATATCATTTAGTTCAACCTTTTCATTTTGCAGATGAGTGAACTGAAACCTGAGAAGGGGGGAAACTTACTAGATACTTTCCTTGTGGACACAAGATAAAAGCATAGCTTACCTGATTTCCACCCAGTTTTTTTTTCCCCCCATGCCAGCGCCGGGCTTTATTAACCTTGGTTGTGTTCACCATAACTGACATTTGTCACATGTTTAATAAATATTAGCAATATCCTAAATTCTTTACATAGATTACCTCATTTAGTCCTCGCAATAACCTGAAAAGGGATGACAGTCTTATAGCCTAGTATTAGAGGAAAGAGCCAGGTCTAGTTTGACTAAGATCTACCTGCCTCTAAGAGTCAGGGGTAGAATTTAAACTCAGTAGCCTGATTCCAGAACCCAAGCTTTATGCTGGTGTATTTTGTTCTTCAAATTTCAGTTCCGCTTCAGAGCAAGTCTGCTCTCTTGGAAGGACTCCTGCTTAAAAAAAAAAAAAAAAAAAACTTTGTTTTTTTCCCCCACCCCACATCTTAATTAGAGACGTGATTACTCTGTGCATGGTCTCCACTTAGGAATTTGAAATGCTGTGTCTGGGGATAGAGGGCATTCTGCTTTGAAGGTCTTTAATCTGAACTGATGGTCTTCTTCAATCCTAGCTGATAACTCCACCTGCTAAATCTTGTGCTTGGGTTTTCTAGGAGGTGACTGTGCTACATTAATGAAGAACATGGGGCCTCTCCCCGTTGATATGGCCAGGATGTACTTTGCTGAGACGGTCTTGGCCTTGGAATATCTACATAATTATGGAATTGTACACAGGGATTTGAAACCAGACAAGTATGTACACCGAGGAAACACATCTCTTTTTCCATACTATACAAAAAGTTGTCTACTGTCTCTAAAAATGTTTTCTTTTAATGTTGCTTTGCACATTTTGAAGTTCTCCTATAATGTTCCCAAGTGAGTTATTTTGGCAGTTTATATGATAATATTTATAAAATAATTTAAAGGCTTTGGTGCTTATAATAATAGCTTGTAAGGAACAAAAAAAAAAGAGGATATAAAGCCAGGATTAGTTAAAATTTTTTAAGTTTTTTGTTATGTTCAGTTTTGAATAGCTTCTAGAAATGTGCTACAAGTTTTTTTCTGGATAGTTTCTGCATTTGGTATTATCCCTATTCCTTCCTATTCCTATTCCTTCCCTATGCCACGATGATATACTTGGTATTATATTCTATCTTACATTTAATACTGAATTTAATTTTTAATCTTCATGACGTTCATTTTAATGTCTGATTTGAGATACAGATAGACTTTTTCCCCCTCAAATGACTAAGTTATTCATCTTGACACCATTTATTAAATGTTTTATGCTTTCTCTACTAATTTCATACACCTCTAAAAGCATTACATGTTAATATGTAAAGATTCTAAGCGTGCTGAAAATTTTATGATTTACAATTAATTCATGCTCATTCCAGAAAATTTTGAAGTATAGAAAAACATGAAAAAATTCATTCACAGCATTACCTAACAAAAACAACTGTTAGAATATGGACTATTTCCTTTCAGTAGCTGTTTTTTCTCTTTTCACATCCTCTCTTCCTTTAACGTTTTAATTAATTAAAATTCTGATTTTTCCTTTGAAAATGAAAACTTTAAAGATTAAATTCATAAGACTGTCACATGTGAATTCTTTGCATTATATAAGAAATCTGCATTTTGTGCTTAATGAGCAGAAATTTATAATTGATCCACAAGTTGAAATCTTGAACAGTAGTTCATTTTTCTGTCCAAGTTCTTTATCTTATGTGTCACTTAAATCATAGATGGTTGCTTATCTTAGTTTCTGATGTATGGCATGGGATTATTGAGAACACTTCTCTATTTTATTATTCTGAAAATAGAAAGATATCAGAGTCCCATGCTTATATTTTTTTAAGTTTAAACCTGTAAATGATATTATATGTGGCTGCTCCAACAAAGATTAGCCAGGCCAGGTGTCTGGCCCTCCCTTGTGAATCACACTCATGAGCCAGATACACATATGTAATATGTTAATGGGACCCCGTCTCTTCCCAGGCTGGGTTTGGGGGTTTTTTTTGTTTTGTTTTGTTTTGTTTTGTTTAATTTTATTTATTTGACAGAGATCACAAGTGGGCAGAGAGACAGGCAGAGAGAGAGAGAGGAGGAAGCTGGCTCCCGCTGAGCAGAAAGCCTGATGTGGGGCTCAATCCCAGGACCCTGGGATCATGACCTGAGCTGAAGGCAGAGGCTTTAACCCACTGAGCCACCGAGGCACACCCCAGGCTGGGTTTTATATTGAGACTGACACCTCTGGGACCTGGGTGGCTCAGTCGGTTAAGTGTCCCAACTTTTGATTTCCAATCGGGTCATGATCTCAGGGTCGTGAGGTCGAGCCCCATGTTGGACTCCATGCTTAAGATCCTCTCTCTCTGCCCCTCTGCCTTTCCCCTCTTTCTAAATAAATAAGATTGATACTTCTACAGTAAATAGTCTTACAAATTGCCAAGAAAAGGAGAAAATCTAAAAAGAAAGAAAAGAACTTCAAAGTAAGTGTTATCACATGTGTCCTTTTGCTTCATAGTTTGCTGGTCACCTCCATGGGGCACATAAAGCTGACCGATTTTGGATTATCCAAGGTGGGACTAATGAGCATGACTACCAATCTTTATGAGGGTCATATCGAGAAGGATGCTCGAGAGTTCCTGGACAAACAGGTAGGCTTGGCTGCAGCTCAGCTGGAGAGAGAGAAAGAAAAAGTACGCTATTGCCACTGTCATTCAGAATCAACTTGTGTAAGCCAGGTCTGCATTAGGACTGGGCGTTTAGATGTCTGTATGAGCCTTACGTTTAATAAAGTGCAAATTGCTTCCATTTTTCTCCCTGGGCCTCTTTGAACTGTCCGTTCCTCCACATTCCTCCCCCAGCATTATGGTCTATTAGCAAGACGAACGATGTAATTGCACACAAGTGAGAATCTGAGAGAGACAAATGGAAAACTGTTTTTGTAAGGAATTCAGGAGTCTCAGCAGAGTACTCATGAAACTCATGATGCATTGTACAATCACGGGTGCTAAAATCCGAGCCATGGCCCATTTCCCTTTAAGCATGCCTCATTACCATGTGCCCACAATCTGTTCATTGTAAAGTTACTTAAGGTAAACACATCTCAACTGTCATGCTTTTCTGAATAACCAGGATGTGACTCTATTTTGGTCATATAAATACTAAAATTATCTGTGGTGGTGACTGATTAAACATGTATCATTATATTAACTTTGAGGATTAAAAATGTTTTTAATACTAAAAAAAAATGTTTTTAATACTGTGGAATAAGTGAAACCACCAAATAGCGTCAAACCTTCAATTCAAAATTACTCATTACACAGAGTTTAACATTGCAGCAGCATTTTAAATTTCCCTTTTTTGCTGTTTAAATATTTCATTGCCTTTGGTGTTATGGATACTGACTTGTAATTGCTGTTCCTAAGTTCTTCGTCCGTTTGGATCTCTGTGGTTGAGCAGGTGCGCTCTGGGCAAAATAATTGGTGTGTAGCCATCTTGCTCATTTTAATTCATGTCTAATATTCCAATTATTCTAATATTGCAATCATCTTTTAGGTCTGTGGCACACCTGAATACATTGCACCAGAAGTGATTCTGAGGCAGGGCTATGGGAAGCCAGTGGACTGGTGGGCCATGGGGATTATCCTCTATGAATTTCTGGTTGGATGCGTGCCATTCTTCGGGGATACTCCAGAAGAGCTATTTGGACAAGTCATCAGTGGTAAATATCATCAGGCATTCTCTTCCAGCGGCTGTTGGGAAACAGCTATTTCATGCAATTCTGTGGAATATTGCCATTTTAACTACTAAAATGTTAACCTTTATCAAACAGTTTAGCCAACACATTAAAAGAACTCACTCATCATAGCACATAACTGACTTTCACAAATCTCAGAGGATCAATTTGTGTTGAAAATTGATCTGAGGAAGTTTCATTAACATGGAATTTAGAAATGTACGAGCAGTGTGACCAGTTTTTATGTGTGCTTTTCTGCAAAAGAAATTCACGTGGGATTTGTAAATTATTTCATTGCCATCCAGTCTTCCTTTCTATAATAGGAAAGTTGCACCAGGGAAGAAAAGGTTAATGTGGGTAGCATTTACATAAATGGGGGAAAATGGCTAATGACACAATGAAGAAATTAACAAAAATGTAATAAACCCTAAAATAAATGTCTACCAAATAATAAATAATGAGAATGGGAAGGAAGCAAATTTAATCCACAGATTGTTAATGATTTCATTGGTGGTTGTTATGGTGTAATGTTATTTCTGTAACAGCTGTTCATCTTTCATTTAAAATTCAATAACCTTTAGATCTTAACCTGCACGCTGACCCTCACTATTGTTATGCGGCTTGTGGCAAAACTAAATGATAATTAAATAGGCTCTATTACTACCCTACCTGCTGTTTTTATAAATTTCCCCGAAGCATAGATCAGAAAGGCCTCTCCTCCTCAAAGCTTACCAGTTATCGCTGACACCCGCATCACCCACTCAACCACCTTTTGGACTGTGCTACAAGGTCTATCAGTGGAAAGAGAGGGAAAATTTGTGGTGGTATGAGGAGTCCCTTAATCACGGCATTATTCTTTATCATTGACTTTGCAAACCAGGCATATTTGTAAACTTTAACAAAGTAGATTTGTGGGTTGCCTGCAGTGTATAACCCTTTTCTACAATATCTGAGCTGTTTATGGATTTATAACTAGGCTGTTTTCTGATAGACCAAGGCCTAAATGGCAAGAGGAATCAACTGTTTAATTAACACAAGCAGCAAATGCTGGCTTTGTTCTCCATGCCTTACGGCTCAGATGCATATTCATGTTTTATTTTCCAAATCAGATTTAAACTGCAGCAGAGGAAGCTGGAGGCAGGCACACACAGAAATAACTCATGTTTTTATTGCATTTCCATACACACAAGCACGCACACCTTATCTTCAGGCAAACTCCTGTGGCATGTAGAACATATTCTAATATTTATGACAGACTTTAAATACTTCCATTATTACCATGATTACTTTGGATTTTTTTTTGTCTCCAAGCTTAACACTTTGGCCTTTCGTTTGTCTCTAGAAATAGTTATTTTTGCAAAATTAATTTGTGCTTCTGGAAGCTGAAGAGCTCTAAGGGCAGGGCCAAATTCACATTTGAGAATAGTGAGAAAGAAAAATCATACTCTCTTGATTGCCTGGAAGGGCGACCATCTAAAACACAGGTGTTAAGAGTTTTTACCATATTAAGTCCTCTTAATAACTAGAAGGAATAATTTGTTTTGAGCCAAGTCTGCCAAAAAGAAAAAAAAAAAAATTTGAAGCATCAAAAAAGCAAATAAATGGAAGATACTGGTTACTGAAATATTTTCTCCCTGCCTTGTTGTAAGCTATGCTGGTTCATGTCTCATGAAACAATGCTCCTCAAACTTGACTGGGCCCAGAAATCAACTAACAATCCTGTTAAAATGCAGATTCAGGCTGGGATGGAGCCTGAAATTCTCTTTCTGTAATAGACTCCCAGGCCTCCTCCCGGCTGTTAGGACCCAGACTGTCATTTGAACAATAAAGTTGTAAATGACCTATCTCCCTTCCAGATGAGATCAACTGGCCAGAGAAGGACGAGGCGCCGCCCGCTGATGCCCAGGATCTGATTACCTTGCTTCTTAGGCAGAATCCCCTGGAGAGACTGGGAACAGGTTAGAGCACATATGTTTTAATTGTGCTAATATGCAAAAAATAATGTCTTTGTGGAGCACTCAGAGGTTTGTGGGTTTTGGGGGGTTTTTTTTGTTTTTTTTTTGCATAAGAAACATCTGTTGGTTGATGTAGGACATGACTACAACACATCATAACAATAATATTTTGGATTTTTTTCTGAGAGTAGTATGTATACTAGGAAGGCTGGTGGTGGTTTGTCTTTGATTTTTGTTTTTCTTGTTTTCGTCTTTTTTTTGCAAAGCAAAAGTTATTCTTTTTTTTTTTTTTTTTTTAATTTATTTGACAGACAGCGATCACAAGTTGGCAGAGAGGCAGGCAGAGAGAGAGGAGGAAGCAGGCTCCCCGCCGAGCAGAGAGCCCGATGCGGGGCTCAATCCCAGGACCCTGGGATCATGATCTGAGCCGAAGGCAGAGGCTTTAACCCACTGAGCCACCCAGGCGCCCCATTCTTTTTTTTTCTTTTTTTTTTAAGATTTTATTATTATTTGAGAGAGAGAATGAGAGAAAGCATGAGAAGAGAGAGGTCAGCGGGAGAAGCAGATTCCCTGTCAAGCAAGGAGCCCAATACGGTACTCAATCCTGGGACTCCAGGATAGTGACCTGAGCCGAAGGCAGACGCTTAACCAACTGAGCCACCCAGGCACCCACAAAAGTTATTCTTAATTTATTTCAATAAATAAAATTGGTCTGGAGGAAAAACTCTGAGGGTGCATAATGGAACTCTTCTATCCTGAAAAATATGCATCTTAAATAAATTAAAACAGAGGATTTGAGATGTAGAGCTTTTTTGTTTGGATTTTTTAAAAAATACATATATATTCCCAGAAAGATTTGACCCAGCCCGTTAACTATTTATAGACTTTGAAATGGTTTATCAGTACTTGAACTAATTAATTACTAGAAATGAGTGTCTGGGGTTGAACCATGCTGTCTCATCATGGTGATCAGCACCCTAGCCCAAGAAAGAGGATTAAAACCATTAGCTTTCAAGATTAAGGAGATAATATAGATTTGTTTCTTGCTGTTTATTTTTTCCCCGACTGTTTTACTCAGAGTTTTTTCTGCTTCTCCTCTTCCTTATATTCTGAATAGACAGAGATCCCAATATAGAGTTCCTCTGCCCCAGTATTATCTAGATGGGGCTAAATATTAAAATATAAATATAAACACCACATACACGCACACGCACAGGCACATGCACACTGTGGATAGTATCCATAATTTTCAGCAATGAAAATTGTTGACTTGATGGAATATTTACTCTGAGCTGTTTCATTCTACTTCATTATAATAGAAATATCAGAAAATGCTGAACAAATCATTCTCTCCCTCAATTTTTCCAATAATTCCTCCAAATACACATGTTACTGTCCATGTTTGCCCACAGCGTCCCCCAGATGGAGGGCTCCATTCTTGCTTAAGTGTGCTGTGCTACTAGAGTTGATGATGATGCATTGAAACCCATAGATCATATTCTTACCTTGTAAATAAAGTTTTATTGAAACACAGCAGTGCCATTCATACACATTGTCTGTAGCTGCCTTCATAGTACAGTGGCAGAGTTGAATCCTCAAACTGTATAACCCACAAAGCCCAAAGTATTTACTGTTTGGCTTTGTACAGAAAAATCTCGCTGACTGCATTAGTGAATCAAAGAAGACTGAAACTCTGGCCTCGCTTAGGAAAACGTTTTTGAGTTGAGCCTCCTTCTGGCGTACCGTGTGCCTGTATGCCTTTTGCAGTGGATGAGTGGGCCTTCGGTGAAGAGTGGAGATTAAGGGCACAAACTCTACAGTCAGATTGCCTGAGTTTAAATCTCTGCTGTGTGACTGTGGGCAGGATGTTTCCTTTCCTGTGCCTCATTTTTTCATCTGTAAAATGGAGCTTAGAGAAGTACCATCTAACAGGATTACCGTGAGGATGAAAGATCACCCATTCTGGCTCTTAGCACCAGGTCAGACACTGCTGCCACTGGTACTGTCATTTTAATTTCCTGCCCGTATAATCTGGTACTTTCCCCTGTGGATGTCTAAGATCCAGCAATGGTGGTGGTGCCCCCACCTTTGAGCTGATTGAACTCTTTGGACAGAATATATTTCTTCCCACCCTATTTGGTGTTCCTTTTGTCTGAAGCAACTAGCAAAGTTGTTCCTCCCTACCTGCTGTGACCTGCAGTCACAGTTGCTTTTTGGCCCCAGAGAGAGGAGTAGCGGTCAAAGAATCCATGTCAAGCTTTGACTAGGGCAGAGTTTTGAGGAGTGATTTTTTACTCACTTGAGCCAAATAGGAGAAGCAGTGGCATTTCCAGCTTGTCCTGCAACAACACAAATATCAATGTCCGTGTCCTACTCAGCTGTCCTGGAGAAGCGTTGTCCTGAGATATGACCAAAGATAACAATAGAATTGACACGTGCCTTCCCAAGAGCCCACTTCTCTTCAGTGTTCTTGGGTCAGTTTGGAGAGTTTTCCCACTGAGTCTTCTGCCTGTTTCCCTCCTCTGAGAAGACCGGGAATCTTGACTTTAACAAAACAGGGCTATGATGCTGGTCAGCATGCCCGTCTTTCTATATTATATGCTGTGAATTATCTCTCTGTGCATTTTCTCCCTGACTGCTACTTGTGTTCTTTTCAGGGCTTGACAATTAGAGATGCGAATCTCCTAGCAGAAGCTCAAAAGAGACATTTAAAAGACCCTGCCCAAGCTCTTAGCATTTCAGGAAGTATTTGCCAAACAGGCGGGTCCAACGTGACAGATCCCAGTAGGGCCCGGAGAATGAGGCTGAGAACCCCGCAGGCCTGCCATGCTGCTTCCAGTGACAGCATTTTGGATTTAATGCATATTTAGCGGGCAAAATAATGCACCGTGAAAATGTGTGAATTCACATTTGCCCGAGAGACTACAGAGGCTAAGAAAAGGAGTGTGAAGAACATAATGGATGTTTAAGAAACTTCCATGAAAGGAGAGAAAAACGCAAGGGTGAAGCATAACTTAGAATTTGGAAACTTGGCCTACTTGGACTAGACTTTTGAACTTGTGAGCTATTGAGCAGCAGCCTGTTTTATTGGACTTTATAGGTCCAATAAGGTGACTGGCTCCCTACCGTGTACCAGCTGAGAGGTCTAGAGTAGTTTCTTCATGATCTAGGTCGCAGTTTCCTAATCTAGGGAAATGGGCATGTTACCATACCCCTCGCAGGATGATTACGAGGACTGAAGGCGAACACGGTCATGAAGCGACCAGGTACATTAACGTAGTGCATCACAGGAGCTCCAGACATAACCGTTCCCTGTCCTTCCCTGCATGGTGAATCCTTAGCGTGAGCACTGTCCCCTGCATGAGTTCCAGGGCTCGATCATTTTTTTCAGGCTCATAATGCCATCATCTGCATTGCCCCAGCAGCTTAGCTCAGAGGTCATTTCTCCCCAGTGTGTCCTTTTAATTCTTTTGTTCCCCATCTCAGCAAAAGTGCACGAGAAACAGGACTCCGTGGTCAAGGAACCTCTTCTTGGGGCAGGGGTGGGAGGGTAGGGGGGGTGTGGCACAAAGGCCAAAGGGTGAGAAATGTGAGCTGGGTTACCCGTGGGCTGTGACCCTGTGGGGAGGACCCCTTGTCGTCATCCACAGAAATGAAGTGAATGTCCTCCCCAACTTGGGTTCCAAAGAGTGCTGGGTGGAGGGATGAAAACCCCAGTCCTCCCGCTATGGTCTGGAAGTCCCCTGTGAGCCCTTGGATCTAGAGAACTGTGCTTCTCTGAGTAAAGCTGAGTGACCTGGGAGTATCCTCTGTCATCGTTGTGTCCCCACGAGCAGGAGTGGAAGTGAGAGTCCTTGCAGCGTGGTATGTGGTACGCCGCTCAGTAGGGCTTGACCCTGTGGACCTTAGTGTCGTAGGCACAGTGAGGGAGCTGGATAGATGTTGAAGATCTTTCAGCTTCTCTGAGATAAGAACGCTGGAAGAGAGTGTGTCTGGCAGCTTTGTGTGGGCGTGTTGGCATTATGACCCAGAGGACGCGCCTGGCTGTTTTTTTAAACAGACTTCAGCTCAGCCTCTCCACGCTTTACTTAATAGGCACTCGTGGTCCAGTATGCTTTCTCCCTTACACGTTGTTTCCTCATCCACACATGGAGTTGACACAATGCCTACTTTGCGGGGTTGCTTTCAGTGATTTAATGAAAGGAAACTAGATGCCTCTAGCGTGTAGTGCAGTCCTTGTCCAAGTCAGCCCTCCCATCGGAGTTGCTCGCGCTACTGCCGCTGTGGTCGAGGTCAGACTCCAGTGTTGTGTTGGAAACACGGGGAATGCTTAGTAACAAAAAACCTCTTCTTCATTTCTTGGGGTGATTTCCCCACTTCGCTTTTTTCTCTCCATTGTTCTCCATACACCGATTGGTCCTGGCTGGGTTTGGGGCCCTGACCTGCCCCCTGTGCTACAGCAGTCTGATGGGAACACGGCCCCATCTCTGAACCACGTAGACAGCTCCGCCACCCCAACACCCAGAGCCATTTCTCCTTCACTTTGCATTTTTCCTCCTCTTTTCTCATACTGCACAGAGGACAGGGTGGGAAACATGGTGACAAGGGCATGAAAGAGGCATTTAAGTCACCCCTACAGGGTGTCTCCTGGCAGGGAGGCGATTAGAACCTCTGTTAGTCTTGTGTGAAATCTCTCTTCCTGGTGTTTTTTCAGAATAGAGTCTTCCTTCTCTTCCTCCTCAACAGTGTGGGCGGGCAGGAGGTTGAGGGGACGGGCAGGCCAGAGGCCTGATGCTCACGCTGTGACTGTGGGCCTTCTTCTCTTTCCTGGGGTAGAGTATGATATTTGGTGGGGCTTCCCCTTCCAAATCCTCTTTTAAGAACTGAGGGGTGCCTGGGTGGCTCAGTTGATTAAGCATCTGCCTTTGGCTCAAGTCATGATCCCAGAGTCCTGGGATCAAGTCCCACATTGGTCTCCCTGCTCAGCAGGGAGTCTGCTTCTCCCTCTGCCTCCCTCCATGGCTTATGGTCTCTCTCCCCTTCCCTCTCTCTCTCTCTCTCTCTCAAATAAATAAAATACTTTTTTAAGAGAGATACTTTTAAAAATAATAAAATAAAACTGTGGAATGAATTAAAAACATTTTACTGAATGGCGTAGTCATGCTGACTTGGGGAAAAAAAAAAAAAAAAGCCTAAACTTAAGAATTGTGCCTGCTTTTCATCCCATCCTTTATAAATCTATCAAACAGGTTTGCCAGTTTCTTACCTAAAAATCTGTAACCCACAGCGTCAAAGTCCTATCTATATTAACAAGCAAGCCAGTAAAATTGAATGGAAACCATTATATACTTTTTAGGAAAAATTCATCTTTATTAACCTCGCCTCCAGAGGAAATATTGCTGTGAACACATTTTGCGCCTTGTTAGAATTTCTTTGGTTTTGTACTGAGCAAGTCTGCTTTGGGCCAATGTGCATCCACATCCCCAGGTTTGACGTAATGTGGTTTTAAGTGGCCGCATCATTAACCTTTGAAAAATGGAGGAAGTCATGGAAAAATTAACAAAGAAACGTGTGCTGTAACAACTGCTGTTAGCAAAATCAAATCCTCTGCTGATAAATTATGGGGAAGAGATTCTTTTATGGGGCGTGTTGGTTATAGAATGACAAAGTAAGATTTCCATGATTCTTTGATTTTTCTGTTGCTAAATTGGGGGGTGGGGTGGGTGTTGTTCTTAAAAGCTTTGCTGGAGGGTAGTTTAACATCTCCCTCTCTGTCCTTTCCCTCCCTCCCCGCCCCAAGGTGGTGCTTACGAAGTCAAACAGCATCGATTCTTCCGCTCTTTAGACTGGAACAGTTTGCTGAGACAGAAGGCAGAATTTATTCCCCAGCTGGAATCTGAGGATGACACAAGTTATTTTGATAGTACGTGAATTATCTGATATGAAACATTGTTTGACCTTTACTTTGGTAGAAAATTATCTCCACTTAGGGTAGAACCCTCCAGTCTTGAACCTGTGAGTTCTTACACATAAGGCTGCTTTGATATAGGAGCTCCTAATTACTGTATCTAAAATAAAAGCTGAAATGCTGAGTAATTGGAACCGTGCCCAAACATTTCCCTGCAGCTCGGTCAGAGAAGTATCATCACATGGAGACAGAGGAAGAGGATGACACGAATGATGAAGACTTTAATGTGGAAATAAGGCAGTTTTCCTCCTGTTCACACAGGTTTTCAAAAGTAAGTGAAATGTGTCATAAACATGCAGGGTCTCCCCAGAGAATCTCCCTCAGACCTGATAGTGGGCATCCCTAAACAGCTGGACAAGATCATAAAAACCACCTACAGCATTTTTGGGCTTGGGGTCTCCTATACTTAAAATTCCTTGGAGTTTCGGAAAAGTGAATGACCCCACCATCCTGATAATCCAGAGTTCCTACCAGCTTGTCACACTCTCCATAGATGGGTAGTGGGTTTTTTTGGAGGCCCAGATTTGGACTTGGAGTACTATCTTCAGAGAACACCATAGCCATATATATGCAAACCTCGCCCTGCAGGACCGAGTCTAGTTCAGTGCCAGGCAGTAGAGGAATCTCCCACTTCTCTGATGCTTCAATGAAGAACGTTGAGCTAGAGTCCTTGTGTACACAGCCCCCTCTTACTATCACAAGAATACAACACAAGGGAGCAGACAGAGTCCTTGACATCAGCTAGGACCCTTGGGGATAGTTGCTGTGGAATGGGAAAGTCTTGTAGTCAGTAATAGAAAATGTTAAGTTACATGACAGAGGCCAGATAAAGCCAAGCTAGAGTTTTGGAAATGGGAGAAGGTAATAAAATCAATGTCCGACAAGGTTGCTTCTTACCGAGAGTGGTAACATGAAAAAAATTCTTACCACTCACAAAGAAATTGGACAGTCCTGAGACCAGACAGGGCCCTAGGAAAATGGAAGGGCATCTGGAGGGCCCCCTTCTCCCTTTTGTGCTTTTCAGTAACTATGCAATCCCTGTTGCCATGGTGTTTTGCGTGTTGATTGTTCAGATCTTCTGAACCATGTAGGGCTTATGAAGTGTCCATTTTTGTACATGACTACTAGACAGAGCATATCTGCAAATGGGCCGGCACTGCCTTCACTGTTTAAAGGAAGGCCATGGAGAGGTAGGGGTCTCCTTGCAGGGTCTGCTGGCCAGTCCACCCAGAACCAGAACTGAAGCTTTGCTTACCCTGAGGACAGGCTTTCCCCCATGCCTGTGCTCTGGCCCATCCAAGCTGGGCCCTAGACTCTGTTCCCTTCCCGCTGTCTCCTGTGCGTTAGTCACCCTGGGCCTCACCACAGTACATGATATGCCATCTAAGGGCCACTCCCATGAGAGCAGCAAGGGGCTATGTTGCACAGTGGGGAGTACTTCCTGCCCTGGGCTTTCTGCTCCCAATTTTTCTTTCCATCTTTCCTGTGGGACAGCAGAGATCTCAGGTCTCCCTAAGCTCTGCTCCCCTTCAGAAACACCGGTCCCGTTTTAGGAAGCTGCCCGTGTGTGCATGTGATTTATAATCCAGACAAACCCCTCTGACTCAGAACCAAACGTGCACTGCCTTCCCCCACACACACATCTTGAACCAGGTAATTTATTCTCTTCACACTCAATTCCAATTCATTTCTCTCCTTCCCACTCCTGACTGGTGGTCGTTAAATCTTTTTCTCTGTGATTTTCTTTTTCTGATAGACTTCATGGTTAAAAAGTCATCTAAGATGTGCATTGATCCTAGGACTTAGAAACCCCAAAGCATCTGTGGACTGTGTTTGCAGATGCAAAGTCCATAATGAGGTAGGGTGAGAGGGTGATGACTTCATAACTCCCCACTCCAAGGAGAAAAAATTAGATCCACGGCCCATTCATCTCAGGACTCATGTAAATAGCATCGGAAAGTACCTTCTGAATACACAGTCCCAGCTGAAACTTTAGTCGTGCTCTCAGATTTTCTCCCCAAGTTTGGGGTTTTTCTGACACGCTCTTTCAAAAAGGTTGTAATAAACCCCAACACTTGGCCTCACAGGTGTTCAGCAGCATAGACCGAATAACTCAGAATTCTGGAGAAGAGAAGGAAGACCCCGGAGACAAGACCAAAAGCACTGTGTTGCCATCCACTGAGACGTTCAGCTGGAGTTCGGAATATTCTGAAATGTACGTGAAATGCCTGTTAAGGGTCGTAAGCGGTCGCTACTAGTGCAATGGTTCTTCAGGCTGAGTGGGCATCGGAATCTCCTGGAAACCCTGTGAGAACACAGATGGCTGGGCCCATATCTGCTCCCCTAAATCGGGGATGGAGGCCGGGAACGTGCCTTTGGCCTAAGGTCCAGGGGATGCTGTTGCATCCAGTCTGGGGATTGCGCTGTAAGAACCGCTGCACTAGACACGCGTTGGTTAGCCTGCCCTCAGTTCGATTTTTACCTCATTTCTTCCCAGAGTCTCCTCGAACACAGTTTCCTAGTGTGTATGCATACATGCCTCTGTTTTGTTTTTAATTAAGGCAACAGTTATCCACATCCAACTCTTCAGATACTGAAAGCAACAGACATAAACTCAGTTCTGGCCCACTTCCCAAACTGGCTATTTCAACAGAGGCAGAGAAAGATGAAGCTGCTCCCTGCCCCAGAGACCTGCCTGAGGAGCCAGAAAAGCCATCCCTTCCTCCTGCAGAGTGCACTCAGGAGGAGCCCGAGGTCACCACGCCAGCCAGTACCATCAGCAGCTCCACACTGTCAGGTAAGCACCTGGGCGTGCTGCCTGCCGTCCGCCCAGTATCCACCAGCTGGAGGGGTCAGGGCCAGGGTCGGAATCCCAGGCGTCCTCCCTAGGGGGTGACGATGGCTGTTCTGTGCCACTCTGCTCCCTCCTCGGCCCCAAGTCTAGGACTCGGGGGCATTGGCTCTTATGAACTGAGGTCACCCCTCCCGACCACGTGGCCAGAGAGTGAACCCTCCTCACTTCAGTTGGGCCCAAGAGCCAGCCTTCACTTTCACAGCTGGGCTTCAATGGGCTTCTCGGATGGCAGTCAGAACGCCCTAGGACCGTGTGGTGTTTTCTATTGTTGATGCAAAAGCGGGTCTCGCACAGTGGTGTGTAAGTCAAAGTTGGGAATCAGGAACTGTATCAGACAGCGGCATGTTCAGAATTACCCTCAAACATGGCTTCAGTCACCCAGAAGGTACACTATAAAGGCAGCTTTCCTTCCGGTGTTGCAGTGGGTGGTGGTTTCTTGGAAAGAGTTGGTTTTGGTCATGGGGCCATGTTGTGCCAGATAACTTCCATATATCCTCACTAGACTCTTAGCACAGCAAGATACTTATTCTGTGAGATTCCCAGGTGATCTCCATGCATCTAGGACAAAGAGGGGGAGGAGAGAGTGAGAAATACCAACACAATTCAAATTGGTGTTTCATGCACATATGAAAGGATCCTGCTGCAGGCACAAGTTACCATTCCAGTCCTACCATAACTCCACAGACATGGGTCACTGTTGGTGAGGCAGTCCAGGGAGATTGGGCTTTTCTTGGGGAGTGCTTTACAGTGTCACTTTTGTGTAACATAACATTCCTGACAGCAGAGACAGTATCTTCAAAGGATTTTAAAAGGTTTACTGTGTCATTAGGTGATCAAACTTGCATTTCCCTCAGACCCAGCCAAGAGCACTTAAAATATTTCTTGGTTTACAACAACTGTTTGCACAGCATATCCTTCCACAGAGAAGTGTGCATTTATGCTTTTTTTTTAAATGAAACGTGGATATGGCTTAGGGTTGCTATGATAAATGTTTTCATTAAGCTATATTCAATATACTGTATGGATAACCATGAATGATTCCAAGAATTTTTATGAACTTTTTTTTAATCTAACTGAATATTCCCAGCATAACTCTTTTTAAAATCATTTCAAGAAAACACACCTTACAGCTTAGGTTTATTTCAGCCTCGCTGAAAAGTTTGCTTCTGTGGAGCTTTTCATGTGCTTCTGGTTTATCATAGGGAAAAATAATGTGGGTTTTTTTTTTTTTCTTTCTTTCTCCCTCTTCCCCTCAGTTCTGTTGCCATGTAGAATAATTCCCCTTATCTTTACTTTTTTATAAAGCCAAGGGAATAGCGACGTAGAAGTAGTGTAGACATAACCTAGTGGTCCAGGATTCTTAATTCTTTTTTGTTTGTGTAGGTAGTCAAGCCAAATGGAATTATCTCAGTATTTTATATTTCTGGTTACTAAGGTCTCTGTTTCCTAGTTTATGATCATGCTCTGAAGAGAGTGTTCTTAGCTCCATTTAAATTTTTTTCTTAATACAGTAGATCACTTAGTCTCCGTGCCCTGGTCCCCATCAGCAGTGTCGAAGGGAAAGGGAGGGAGATGGTGTCTAAGCAGTTGATTGATTACTTTCATAATTAAAAAAAAAAAAAAAACTGCTAGGTCCTGCCGTGCATTTTGATTAATTGATTCAAACCACCTTTCTCTCTCCCCCATATACACACTAAAAATAATCAAAGACCTTGGGGGCTATTACAGAATAGAGAGATGAGCCGATCTGCTCATGGCCAAGGGTAATTAGGAAATCTGAAAACCGTGACTGTAGTAAAATTAAATTTGTTGATTTTTATATTGCTCCACCATCAAAAAGAAGGAACCCTTGACATTTGCAGAACATTAAGGTGACATTATCCACCATTGGCAGAACAGAAATGCACGCTTATACCCAGGGCTATGAAATGAGGTGGTGGGATGCAGGAGGGAGGGATGATAGAAAAGAATACCATACATTCACGTGCAGACCTTTAGGGTAGTAGAGCTTTACACCTCTTTGTTTTCCTTCGTGACTATGTTGCTTTTGAATGGGTGAAAAGTAAAAGTCCTGAGGTCTTGGGTGTATTATTTGCTGTGAAGAGATTCAACTTTTCATTTTGCATTTGTCAGGGATCCCACCCACCCCGATTAGCAAAGAGAAGAGCGTGTGACTTACCCGAAAGGAAGCTTACAGATTTTGAGATGAGGTGTTTGGTTCGTGACACGGTATTCATCAAGTACTTGAGCTGTTGATTCCTTTATTTAGAGAGCGCAGAGTAGATGTGTTGAGCGGATGGGAGCAGGAGGGCTGCTGATACCTCCCTTAGGATTGTCCTCCTCTGTAGTTCACGTGGATGTCACATGGATGTCTGAATCTTTTCCTGCACCCACAGCACTCTGCCAGATCCCAGCTTCCCTTAGCGAGGACCCCACCTCTAGGGCGGGTGCCCCTTCTGTACACAAAGCCAAACTCGAGCTATGCCATTGAGTGGTACAGTCAGCAGCAGAACAGCGATGTGAGCTAAGTCTTATCCAGTCTAACCCTTTCCCCGGCCAAGAGTGTCATGTCCTTTAAAACCTGTCGACTGGGCTTTCAAAGGGTCATTTGTAATGGTCATTTGTGTCAGATTCTCTGCATGGATTGCAAACCTTAAGGTGATGATCGTCTTGATGGTTTTTAAAGCACGGGGTGGGGGAGGCCTTGTAACACAGTGTTTAGAAGTCAAAATGAGATAAACATTGCTTTTTCTGGGTAGACAAAGATAAACTATCAATGATTTTTTAAAAAGAAAGAAAACTGGTAGTCTGCAAAAGCAAGAGTTGAAAGAACCAAAAGGGGAGGCTGTTCACCTGTTCTCTGCAGGAACTCCACATGTGACTTCTGCTAAGAAACTTTTACTCTTTGTGTGCCGTTGCCCAGACAGACGTCAGTGATTTTCCATTTTTGTCACCTCCTACATGATTATATTCCCTTGGGATCCCCTCCTGAGGGGAGTCCTAATTTTTTAACTAAAAACAAGGAGACAAAAAGAACACCTCCAGTGTCTCTTAAGGGTTAATAAACAAAAATAAAGAAGGCACAGCAACCTTAGAGGAGAAGGGATCTTACCACGGGTCTCATAACTTCAGGACACAGCCAATGACACACTGCCTAGAGGAAAAGCCAGGAGGATGTAGAGAGCCACTGAGTAACATAGGGGTTAATAGGCTTTGTCACCCTGTGAGGTTTGCAAAGAGTGGAGAGCATAACGGGGCATATGGCATGAGAAGTCCAAGGTGACACCTCCGACACTCTTCTATTAGTTAAAGTGTGGGCCTCGTAAAGGTGTGTCCTGGGAAGATGGTACGAGGTGACACAGGCATAAGTCTACATGAAGACATGAGGTGATGTCCACTTACCACAAAGCAGCATTGTCCACATTATTAAGAGCATTGCTAAGGTTGATCACTAATATCACATGATAATCATATTAGACAGCGGATGGTCATGGTGTTGATAAGGTGGTGCTGGTTTATAGCATGGCCTTCCGTGGGTTGGGAATGAGGGGGAGGAGTTGTCACTACAAGGATTGAAAGATAGAGATTCTAGAAAGGAATGAGTCTTTTAGGTAAGGGGAGTCACGGGCTGAGAATAAGTAGACTCGTGGACAGGAAGAGTGACACCTGAATGGACGCCACTTTCCTCTCCCTCTCTTCCACGTCCTCTTTCTCCAACTGGTCATGTCTGTAATGTTTGCCTGACACCATAAGGCCCGTGAGCCACAGGGGAGGACGTTTCCCAGTTTGTTCTTCCTTCCCTTTCTCTTCCCCTTTCCCCACCTCTCCGGTCCCAGATTTCCCTGAACGTGTTTATCCCTTCTTCTTTGTGCAGTTGGCAGTTTTTCAGAGCACTTGGATCAGATAAATGGACGAAGCGAGTGTGTGGACAGTACAGATAATTCCGCAAAGCCATCCAGCGAACCCGCTTCCCACATGGCGCGGCAGCGATTAGAAAGCACAGAAAAAAAGAAAATCTCGGGGAAAGTCACAAAGTCCCTTTCTGCCAGTGCTCTGTCCCTCATGATCCCAGGAGGTAGAGAGACATCTACTCGCATGAAATTGTGTGATGTGCGCATGTAACCCTCCTTCCCGGGTTCGGAATGCTGATGGGGATGCAAGATAGCTAGAGGCAATAGCAAGTGCTAGCTGGTTGACCCAGCTGTCCCGGGAGCTTCTCCCTGCAGGAGCTCCGGGCCTCCCAGACAGCATGTGTCGCTGATTTCTTCTGGCTTCTTTCTGCATCGGGAGATGAGGCAGTCTTCCTTCCCACAATGCCTTCCTTCTTATATTTGTTTTCTTTCCTGTTCTGCTCCCCTCTCCCCAAGTTCAGTAGTAAATTTACCTCCTCTGAATAGTTTTTCTTCTCGAGATGGGGCATCATTTATATACTTTACTGAGCTACTTATAGCATCTGTGTTGGAAAGCTAAGAATAGTTTTCCTCATCTAATTAATGAGGACATAGACATGGAGGATGTAAGTTTTTCATTTCCAGGGATGCAGAGAGTCACAGACAGTACTGAAGTTCTACTTTTTCCCAACGCTGTCTGTTGAGCTATGCTTCCTCCTACTGGCAGTCAAATCATTTTCTTCCATGTATTGGAAAATAGAGCTTAATTATGGTTTTGTGGAATTACAGTATTTTTCCATAACTGGGTTTTGCCTCCACAAATCACCAAAGCAATTCCACTGGAAAAGATGAAATACACACCCTAGTGTGTGTTGGTGACTTACTGTTCCAATGGCGGCAAGGGAGTGCAAGTAGCAACTGAATTCTGTTGCAGATGGCTTGCATTGGGAAGAATACAGACCATGTCTAAAAGGAATCATTGATATTCTCAAAATTTCCCGTTTCAAAATTTTCCTATTTGTGCAGAAAGAAATTTGACAGAAACAACTGCTCCCGTGGGGGTACTGCTCCCTCTAGCATACTCTTTGCTGGGAGACATCCTCTTTAGTACCATAAAACAAACACCTAGTTTGTTGGAATGACTGTTCATAACCCAAAGGCACTGGCCCCTGAGCAGCTGTGGTGGGGAAGGTAAGTCCGCTTTTGAAAAGTGCTGAGAAGGCCCAGATCTTGGTCAAGTAGAGCAGCTGTTCCATTTGGGAGGGAAGGGATCGGGGACTTGGCTTTCCAGCAGTTTCAATGTGTGTGTGTGTCCACTCTGTCCTGTTCCTGCTTGCTTGGTTCAAAGTTCACTGCCCACCGGTGTGTGTTTCCTCACCTGGTCTTTTGACCTTTAGAGAAGAGGCAGCCAGCAAAAGAGAACCAAGATGCCACGTGCAGTCACAAAATGGAGCATGGTAGTGAAACACTTAGCTTTGTCCTACTTTGGCCAGACCTAAGAATGGGAAGAAATGATAGTGTGGATAGCTTGAGCTCTCTGTGTCCACAGGGGACTCAGTGCACCGGGTGAGGCTTCAGCAGTCCTGGGGCTCAGTCGCCTGGCTCCCATGGGGCTCACCTTGCAACCTCAGTGTCTTCTCTAGATAGTGCTTCTTGTCAAACACACACCCAGTTTCACGTGACCAGTTAAGATCTGTTTAGATCCACATAGATGGAACAGCGATGGCAACAATTAAATTAGAAGTGTGTTTGCTTCTTAAACAAGAAGAACAGAGTAGAATTGGTATTGTGGAAGGTGAACAAAGTTTTTGTTAAGATTTCTCTATTACACCTGCATTATCCTCTCAGAATCATTGTTAGAATTGTAGGTAACATATGAAGACAATCAGTCGTAGTCAGAGTAATGAGGAGTGATTCGTTGAGAAATTGACATTGCCCTGTTGCTTGATCAAAATCGCTTCATGAGTACTAGCTCAGTAATACTGTAGAAAGCAACTGGGGTGTTGATAAATGGCTCTCCTAACCATGCATGTTTGAGAAGAACCGTGTTCAAGTTGTTGAGGGCAAGATTTGAAGCCCGAGGATCTCTTACTCTGGGCCACGCAGTATTCTCTGTGTAAAGGCGTACTTGAAATTTGTGCATCTGTGATTTGTTTCTGTAATTAAAATAAAACATGCTAACTAGAACTATCACAGCCAGGTAGGAGCTAGGTTTTGGGTGTGTTTTAATTAGTGTAAGGAAATAAGAAATTATAACTTCAGAGGATTCATTGAAAAATGAGTTAAAATAGACACTTTTGAAGTTCTCTTAATAGCCTCTGTTCAGAAAGCCATGCTAGTTAGATAAGTATTTTTATATTATTTCTTTATGAGACATGAATGGGTTGGTCTTACAGCCAAGCTCCTAGTCATGGCAGGGCTGATGCTTCGTGGGCTGACTGCACGGACGTCTGTGTGATCAGGATCGGCTTTGATGCCTGGCTTCTGTGTCGCAGATATGTTTGCTGTTTCTCCACTGGGAAGTCCAATGTCCCCCCATTCCTTGTCCTCGGACCCTTCTTCTTCACGAGACTCCTCTCCCAGCCGAGATTCTTCAGCAGCGTCTGCCAGTCCACATCAGCCTGTTGTGATCCACAGTTCCGGGAAGAACTATGGTTTTACCATCCGAGCCATCCGGGTGTATGTGGGAGACAGTGACATCTACACGGTGCACCATATTGTTTGGGTAAGACCATCAGCCTCTCATCCTCATTCGTTTCCACTCCCACCCATCCTGGAAAATGAATTAAGTTGGGAGGCCTATCTACGAGCTGTTTTTCCGTTAAGCTGACATTGGGGACCTGTTCATGCCCTTTCCCTTTATGGGGGGGCATTGAATTTAACAAAAACTAGTAATTTCTCATAATTCTGTCCAGTTTTCCTGTTTGTCCACTCTGCATAACAAGCTGGTGGAAATTGTCAAAGATTGTCCTCTTGCCACTTTTCTTTTTCAGGGCTTTTTGGTTTTGTTTTTGTAATCTTTTTTCTGGTCTTCTTTTATTTCAAAACAAAACTACCTTCTCCACTCACCTGAAATTTTGTAAGGAATGGTCCTATTTTAGGATGATGACAGAAAAGGAATAATAACCGTGCCTTCTTGATTTCCTCTTAGGAGCTTAGGATCATTTGCTGATAAATTCAGAGTATTTTCCCAGAAGAAACAGCAGATGTTAGGGTTGCCATTTGTTGGCTTATGAATGTGTACTCTGTTCTTGGACTTTAGAATGTAGAAGAAGGAAGTCCAGCATGCCAGGCAGGACTGAAGGCTGGGGATCTGATCACACACATCAATGGAGAACCGGTGCATGGACTTGTCCACACGGAAGTTATAGAGCTCTTGCTAAAGGTATTATCTTTTTATGTCCATGCCATACAGGGAACGCAGGTCATCAGAAAGAACTGGTACCAAGAATTCTCTCCTCAAGTTCTGTAGTTCTTCTCTGTGGTACATACTCAGTCTTATCACTGAGAAAGCTATTTAATAGTCTAAGGTTTAATATAAAGGAGAAGAGAATATGAATTCTCTGGTTATTTATATCATGAAAACCATGTTCTTATATCTGCCCAGTCACTTCCTAATTGAACTTCTTATTCTAAATCACAGATAACAAAAGTTTTTTGTTTGTTTGTTTGTTTGTTTGTTTGTTTTTTGGTTTTTTTTTCCCCCCCATTTTATGAACCTCCATAGTAAAATCTGTTTGGAAATCACCTATCCTATCCTAAGGGTGATTTTCTTCAGGAACATTAAGTAAGTTTTATTCTAGTACAACGGAAGATGAAGTGGTATTAAACTGTGATGTTCAGATATGAAGGTTCATTCTAGTAGTTGAATTTCCTTTGAAAGATGGAATTGTGAATACAGGGACCTCTGGGTGGCTCAGTCAGTTAAGCATCACACACTTGGTTTCAGCTCAGGTCGGGATCTCAGGGTAATGAGATCGAGCCCCACGTCTGGCTCTGTGCTCATCAGGAAGTCTGCTTGAGATTCTCTCTCTCCCTCTCTGTCTCCTCCTACCCCCCCACCACGTGCATGCTTGCTCACTCTCAAATAAATAAATAAATCTTTAAAAAAAAAAGAATTGTGAAAATAAGCACATATACCATACATGACAGAAATAGGTAGTAATGGAGGAGGGGGTGGTAGCAATCATAAGGCCTTCCTCATACAAATGAATTTGAACGTAAATCATTTTCTGTTTCGAATGTAAGCTGAATAAAGCTTGTAGAGTTAAGATCACAAGAAGCGTGGACATGAGAAGAGGGAGAAAATCTACACTGATCCTCTCATTTCTGTTGAGTTACTTGCTTTGTCACCTGCTGACTGTAGAATATAAAGTTAGAGCTCCAAATATGGATCTTGTAAAAACAAGGATGAAGTTTGTGTTCGCCTGTAAAATCTGTTCAGAAAAAGAAGTCTGTGATCAGAAATACAGTCTCTAATTGGAGGATTATTTTACACATCCACAGATTTATGGATGACCTCTTGCTTTTTGAGCACCAAGGGGTCTGTAAGGGACTTCTACACAGAGAGGTATGAGCCATAGCTTCAAATAACCTACAGGGTGTTGAGAGAGCATAAATTTGTATATGCTATTTAAATAATGTGCATTTAGACCATTTTCAGAATACGTGCTCTGAGTCCAGTGCCGGATGTAGATGGTAGATGTTGATAACACAGGAATTGTTATAGTCCTTGCCCTTAGGAAGTATGGGAGATGCAGGAGATGTATGGAAGCACATAAAATTTAACTTAATTAGTCAGAGGGAGGGCTGTCATACTTTCTCAGAGAATATTCTATGAGTAGAGAGACATCACAGAGAAATTTCATTGAATTGAAACATGAAAGAAAATTAGAAATCTAGAAGGCACTACAGAGAAGTGGGTGTGCTAAGCCTCCCCAAAATAAGGGCAGTTTAATGACTTTTCTCCTTTCCTGTCATTCCCACAGCTAATAGGAATATATTCTTCAAAAAATTAAGGGTCTGACCTAGGTTTTTAAGAGTAGTTAATAGCAGGCATATCCCAAGTTCCATTGTAAAGTAGCAGATTTTAAGAAAGTTATTGCCATTGATTAATTCACATTATTAATGAAATTTGGGTCTTGGGCTCAAAACTGAAGTCTGAAGGGTTGGGGCCTGACGTTGCCGTCATAAATTCCTACAGATTGTTACCTAACACTAGCCAGCTTTCTCACAAATGCATGTATTGATCACTGGAGGGATAGGACTCAATATTGAGAGAACGCTGCAGGGCCATAGGCAGTGTTGGAAATCAGCTGAAGGTCGTGCTGAACGCATAGCAAATCCGACAGAGCCCTACAGGGCAGATCTTAACTCTTAAAGCTTTCCATGTAATCCCAGCATGCACCCCGTACCTGGATATAGATGGGTACCCAGTAACTGTGGGGTTGAGGTGAACAATGGGGTTCTCCTTTTCTTGCTGTCCAAAAGTTACCGTGGGAGGAGCCAAGTACCACACTTCTGCTCCTGTTATGTCTTGACTCATGTCTTTGGTGTACATGCCGTTCAGTTCACCATTCAACATTAAATGGCTCGAGTTAGGCTCCGCTTTTCAATGTGCCTACTGAACAGAACAGAAGACATGGCGGGTAAGACCTGAGTTTTTTCGTTTCCTTCCCCATCTATCCTTGATGATATTCTTTGTCCACTTGGTGTGCAACAACTCACTCCTAATAAGTGTCCAAGAAATGGGAGGCACAGCAGTGTTGCTGACTTGGAGGTCCTTTGGCTGTGGAAGTCACCTGAAATGACTTTGGGCTCTACAGGGCAAAATTCTAGAAGGGATATACAGACTCGTGAGTCTGACCAGCAGCTTCTGTCACAGTCCCTGCTCCTGTGGTCCAAGGCTGCCTCCGTTGCTGGTTCACAGATTGACCCTTTGTGAGGAAGAGCCCAGGGAAGTTGTTTGGGGTCCCCCCGCCCCACTGTCTACATATCCAATATAGAAAACTCTCCACCGAAGAAGCAGGCAGGCAGAGCCAGAGGTGTTGTTTATCTATCTCTAAAATGCTCGTTGCTCTTCTCCAGGAGCTCACCTTTTGTTTTAGATAGTAAGTCTGTGTTTTACAGGTGAAGTTCTCTTAGTTGTTATTCATCCTGCTAGAGCTTTTTCAGATCTTGGCATTAGCATTTAAAAGAAGGTCAAAGGGATTTGAAATGGTAACATAGTTTGGCTTTCTAAGCCTTCCTTGTAACAGCGTTGTGTTATATGCCACATGGCTCCAGCCACAGCATATCTTTTTATCATTTCATGTATCTGCTCATAAAATCACAAGAAATAATAAACAAACATGTATGTACATATATACAAATGTGTGTGTGTGTGTGTATATATATATATATATATCTTTAGAAAATATGCATTTGTTTCCTTGGCTGAGACATTTGATGATTTTCATAATTTGTTTTATATTTGATATGATTCAGGATTTTTAAAACCTGCTTCTGTGGAATTTGAATATATATTTCTCATGAAGGTCTCTGGCAAAGCCTCTTGGCAGAATCCAGTCCCATTTGTAACAGTGTGTCCTCCCCTGGTCATGGAGTACCTTTGTTCCTGGATCTAGTCAGCATGGCTCTGAAATTGCGCACACACACCCGCAGCGTGTTGGAGAGCCCTGGCGTCTCTGTCACAGAGCCAACCGGAGGATCCTGCCTCTGGTTCATAAAGGAAGCACTGGAGAGGAGCAACCAGTGTAATGAAATAAAAAGGATACAAGGGATTTAATTATCTTCCCAGTGAACTGTGTAATCATGCAGCTTTCTTCCAAATTTAAGTAGCGGTTCTTGGACAACGCATGAAGTGAGGGATACCCACGCTGGGCTCCCTCATGCCGTCGCTCGTGGAGCACCAGGGTAGCAGCTCTGTTTCGCTCCCTTGGATGCTGCTTCCTTGACGGTTTATACTTGGCAGGCTACTTCGTGAAATGTCGTGGCACCCTTAGGCAAAGGTGGGGGCTGCCATGTGTCTGTTTAGAAATGCTCATAGAGTACTTACTTAGCTTTTGGAATGTGAACGCCAGAAGCATTTTCCATTTACCATCTTTACCTTTGGTCTCATTGCCTCTCATAACTTGTAGGCAAAACTGCTGGGGGAGCAGGGACTTAGGCCCGCGGTCATTTCACATGGCAGATCCATGGAATTACAGAATCCTGTGCTTCTCCAGGTCAGCACCCCACTGGCTCTCTGACTCCTTAAAGTGTGCTTCTTCACCTTTGCCTCCCCCGCTCTCCTGCCACCAGGAGTTAATCACCTCCTTTCGGCTTTCAGGTTAGCCTTCTCAGAGAACTTCGCCGAAGCAATAAAATCTTTCTCCAGCCGCTGCTGTCATGGGTGAAGTCCCTATTGAGGCACATAACAATGTGTCTGGCTTTACCGGCCTAATCAGGAAACTCCAAGTTCAACCAGGTTGCTTTTTCAAAATAGCATTAGTTTAAATGCCCAGTGCATAAGAGAAGCCCTAAAACTTTATCAGCCCCTGCTTCAGAAATTTATTTTCTATGAACTCTGGGGAACTTTTAGATACTAAAATGAAGACCGTAAGATAGTATCATTATTACCCTCCCTACCTATTCACTGAGCCCAGAAAATGAACAGAGCATTGTGTTAGGTCCTGAAGGGTCATACAGCAGAGGACTCCGGGAATAACAGGTCACAGACAAACTCCCATAATCCTTACACCCTGGGAGGTAGGTGCTGTAAATAACAGTGTGTGCCCGCTTCACAGATGAAGGAATTAAAGCAGGAGAATGTTAGCTGAGCAGTGCGAGGTTACCTGGAAGAGGGAGCAGAAGAGGGTTTGCACCCTGCTGTGTGGTGTCAAAGCACGTGCGTTGCGTTAGTCCAACCAGAGTGCCTTATACCTGAGGTTCTCTGATTGCCAGTAATGCAGTACAGTGTTCACGTGGAAAAACAGTCCAATATCAGTCTGCAGTCAAAGGCACAGACTGTAAATATGGCCCAAAGTCCATAGGACAGACAGCTTAAACTAGGGTGGACAGGGAGGAAGAGTTGGAGGTTACAGGTGGAGAGTTAGAGTATGGGAAGGGAGTGCATTATGGTCTCAGTAGAGCAGAGGGAGTGTGTGCAGTCAGAAGGGCAAGAAAACTCAATGTGCTTGAGGTACATGAGTAAATGAGCGTGGCAAGAGCCTGGGTTTGTATATGGGTTGGGGTGTGCAGGTTGGTTGGAGCTGGATTGTAGAGGATGTGAAGCAGAGCAAAGACATTGACCTACAGAACGCGCAACAGTCCCCGTGTGTGTGATGCAGAGAAAGGAATATAGAAATAGTCTACCTCAGGAAGCTATCCAAGGCCAACCGATAAGCTCACGTGGAGCCAGACTGAGAGGAACAGCTCGCTTAGCCTGCTGTTGTATTGAGTTCAGCCAGCTTAAAGCAATTTCCCTCCCACCATGCACAATTACACAAATAGTTAATAGGAAAAGTAAACAAATTGAACATTTAACAGTCTGCTGGCCCCATTTTTTGTTGTTTTTTAAACAAGTACCACAGAATTTCTCTTAGAAGAGTTCACTCGTTCTTTGGAAGAAAGTATTAAGGATGAACTGACCCAGTAAGACAAATTGCACACAGCTCACACAGCCCTCCGTGTGGCCAATGCATCCACCAGGTGGCAGGCTTTACGATTCCTAACCCTGTTGGTGGAAAATGTCGTTTTTCTATTCGTTTACCATTTTCGTTGTCATTAATGCTCCTGGTGAAATATTTGGAGTCTGTATCTTCTGTATCTGTAATTCCTCCTTAGGGAAATTCTCTCAGTGTATTTACGTCAGTCAAGCAAACGGTCCCCTGGAACAAGTCATATATAGAAACAAGGAAGAGAAAACCAGAGCTGGCTTTTATAGGGGAAGGGAACATTTGTAGAGAGCTCAGTGATGTGCTCTGATTTAAAAACCGTGGTCATAACTATTTTCTGATGAGTATGCTTATCACTTATGTTTATTTCTTAAAATGTTCATGCTATTTTTATATCTCTTCATTTTCTTTTTGGCAGTCTGATGTGTTGATCATTCCCTAGATCAATCCAGTACCTGGTTCCCTCACCACCACCCACCAAGGATAAGCCATGCTCTGTGGGGAGCAAGAGAGGTGAAGGACCAGGGCATGCCATGCCCATGATGAGTGGCACAGGCAATAAGGGTCAGAGAGCCAGAGCTCTTCTGCTAGGCTCTGTGACCTTGGGAAGAAGAAACCCCAGTGTCCCTGAATCTATTTTCCCCATCTTTCATGCAAGGATAATGATTCTTTCCCACCTCACCAGGTGCAATGGTAAAATATTGTAAAATATTTACATTATTATATACAAATATATGTTGTATAGAATATATTAAATATATATAGTTTAAATATAGGATAGGTATAATATGTATAATTTGCATGTATTAAATATGTACAAATATTTATTGTAAAATATTTACATTATTTGTAAAAAAATAAAAGAGCCCTCCTGGTGTGGTGGGAAAATAAAGCAAGAGAATATATGTGAAAAACACTTTAATGCTCAGGACACACTTTAAAAAGGCTGCATGGCATTGTTAACTGCTTGTAGATAAAGATAGGAAAGGTGATGGCGAATTATGTTAGGAAGGGTAGAACTGGACTCAGGTTCAGTGACTCACATACTAGGAGAGCCTCAGTGGTCACGAAGGCTCTCTGTCCTGACTGTATGTGAATATGGAAAAGGGTTGAAAGAATGGCAGTGAAAGATGAACTCCAGCCATCCTGGTTGCTCTTTTCATTCACCTAAGGCATGCAGGACAGACTCCTGTTTTCGCAGGACCTCCCGCAATTGTGAAGGGAAGATCCTGTTCTAAACAACCTGCATTGGTAGGCCTTTCATACGTAGAAGCTGAACGCTCTGTGGAAACAAGAAATAGTCAGTCTTTACCATCACATAAAGAGTTATTCTTAAAGTTTTGGCATTTGCATGCAGAACATATAGTTTAGTCTTTCAGAATAATTATTTTTCCTTTTGTTTCAGTTCAAATCCTATATATATACACATATACATATATATGTATGTATGTATATATACATAGGTGTATTCATGTATGTATACATATATATACACATACATATATATGTATATATTTAAAATTAGGACATTAGGCATGGGAATACATGTCTTAAATGTACAAAGAACTCTACAAAGCAGTCAAAATACTAAGACTTGCTCATTCTAAAATGGATATAAGACCTGGACAGATTATTTCCTGAAGAGATAGAAATGACCAAAATAAATGAGACACCATTAAAGAAGGAAGATGAAAACTTGATACAGCTTATTTGTATAAAATTGGGAATTTGTTTAATGTTAATATTCAGTTCTGACAAACCTGTGGTAAGAAATGTATTTATGGGCATACTTGAGTGGCTCAGTCAGTTAAGTGTCTGACTATCTCTCAAATAAATCTGAAGAAAAAAAAACAGGTATATATGTGCTACCCACAAATATACCTGTTGACGTAAACTTTCTGGAAAATAGTGTATTAGTTTGTACCAAGAGTCTTTAAAAAGTTTGGAAAGACCCTTTGATTTGCTGCATTGACTCTAATTATGTAATCTAAGGAAAATGACAGAGATTAAAACAAGTGATTTATAGATAGCGGTATTTATGACAACCCTTAAAAGAATTGAAAAGTAGAAAAGTATGGAAATAAGTTTTGATTCACCCATCTTGTCGAATATTATTTATACAGCCAATAAAAATTATGTTCTCAATGAACATTCAATGATGCAGGGAACGTTTTCCAAGTTACATAATGTGAGATGGAAAAACAACATAAAGCTAAATATTAGATTAACTAAGATTAAAATCATTTCTGAAGTATGTCCGTATACGTGCATAATTTATATGTACCCGAAGAGATCAAGAAATATGCTGAAATATTATCAGTGTTAGCTGAGTGATAGGTTTCTCCGTGATTTTTATTTTTACTTATACTCTACAATTACTTCTTATAATATCATGTATTATTTCCCAAATTGGAGCGGCGGAGTAGATGTTAACATGAAAGCAGTCAGTCCTCCTTGGTTGAGTCCCCTGACCCCACCATACTCAACTCTCCTATCACTTAGAGCTGAACTGCTAGGTGTTTCCCAGGCATAGGCCTTTGAAAAGAGCCTTCTCCTTATACTTCTTGTCTTTTCGAGGTAATCAGGGCCATCTGTGGCTTTGAAAGGGTATGTTTCTCCCCCAATTATTAAGAAATTCAAGAAGAAGTCATTGATGTGGGAGTGAAGGGAATTAGTCCTACCATCTGCCCTTGGCACCCCTCAGCCCGGCTTCTGACTCCACTGTCCTCTCTAACCTCAGGGCCTTCCCAGCAAGCCCTGTTCCAGCAGTGAATGAAATACCCAGAAATCCACCAGGAGTTACCCCCCTATGCATGGCCCGGTTAAAGAGAGGCTGTTTTATACTCACTGGCATCAACTTTCTAGTTCTGCAAGCTGACAAGTCTTAGGGTGACAGGAAAGAAATCTTTTAAAATACTTAAAAATAAAAGTCTCTTTCAGTTTTCCTAGTCTATGATTTCTAGGTCAAAGGAAAAACACAAAAAGGAGAAAAAAGTAAAATAAATCAACCAAGAACAGATAGCCCCTGGGCACATTTATACTCCATACCTATGGATGAAGGTAACTTATTTATAGAGCACTTTTCACGTGTCACACTTGGTGCTGAAGCCTTTCTTAACTCCATCCTGTGGAGTCCTCACATGAGCCCCTGTGAGATAGGTCTGACTCCGCTGGTAGATAGGGCAGGTGTTTGAGGCCCAGAAAGGAGAAGCAGCCTCCTGCAGTCACAGGATTCAGATTTGACCTCGCATCTGTGGAGTCCAGAGCCTGCCCTCTTAAAGCAACCTGTCATTTTGCTGTCTACCCTTTGTGTTCTATTAGGATGTCCCTGCTTTATTAAAAGGTTACTTAGAAAGGGAAGGCTTTTGTACGTATGTCTTTAGGTATCTTTATTTGTCTTTGAATCTCCTAGCCCAGTTCCAAATCTTGTTTCCTCCCAGAATTTCCCTTTAATACCACCCCACTTTTTTTTATAGAGTGGAAATAAGGTGTCAATCACTACTACCCCGTTTGAAAACACATCAATCAAAACGGGACCAGCCAGGAGAAACAGCTATAAGAGCCGGATGGTGAGGCGGAGCAAGAAATCTAAGAAAAAAGAAAGTCTAGAAAGGTTAGTTAAAGCAGTATTTTTGCGATTTTGGTATATACCCTTGTTGGAGGAAAGTTACTCCTTACCTAATTTAAACACTTCTGTGTGAGAAAGATCCATTGCTCTGTGAGAAATTTCATGCTGTGGTTCAGATATTTGTACATTAAAGTTCATATTCATAATAGCATTATTTTTCACAATGAAAAGATTTACAGAGTTACATTGTAGGAGAATTCAGATTGGGTTTTTTTTGTTGTTATTTTGTTTTTCTTTACTGTGTGAGTACCATGAAAAGCGATTTACTGTTTCTTAAGCCTCTAGAATTCATTTCAGGTGAGTTGGATTTAAGGCGTTGGATCTTCAGGCAGTTTTTAGCATTAAATCTACATTACTAATAGCCTTTACATTACCTGAAAACATACAATTTTTTAAATGGCAGATATTTGGAAATAACTATGTCTTAAAAGCATCCAAGTAAGCCTAAAAATAAAGAGGTTTTGTTTTACTGGCTGAAGATCTAACTGGGGTACACATTTGCAATCTGGGAGGCACTGTGAGTGTTTTTGTGCTCTCTGCACACTGGCAATCTTCGTGTATGTGCTTGCCGTGGGGACATTTCTCCCTAGTCAGCTGTCTGGATGGGCTCCCTGCATGATGTCCCAGCAGTATCCCTCCTTTGCCTACTTAGATCTAATGTGTCTGATTGTATTAAGAGGATTTTTAGTGATAGAAATGTGGGAAAATAAGCAGATGAAAAAATAATGCTTATTAATTCCAGGAAAGACAAAAGCATACAGGAAAGGAAATGGAATCATGCTTTGCCTAGCCCAGCTGTGGACAGTATTTATAATATAAAAATAGAGAGGAAAAAAGACCACCCTTTTCTCTAACTGAAAGTTTTGGTTTAGCTGTAGAGGGAGGAATAGAAAAAGGGAAGTGTATTTGGTCAGAAGGCGGAAGGGTGCTTGGGGAGGAGCTTAATCCTCATCTTCTGTGCTGGGAAGTCAATAGATACTTTCTAAAACTGAAAAACGAAAACATGGTACAAAGAGATTCCATAGCAATGTGCAGACAGATGGAAGAAACAGCTCAAGGAGTAGAAAGTGGTTTCTCAGCCAAGTGCGCCAAGGACAGAGTAGCACAGTTGCTGTTCTTCATTATGAACTGTGTAAGATGATGTCCTAATTTAACCCAACTACATTTATTGCTTTGATTAAAATTAAACACACCAGTTCTGAGATGTGTAGTCTATTAGATATTAGATAAATGAGTGATTTCTATATTTTTTAATGTGTGCTTTGTATCTGGATTGTGCTTTAAGTTAGACAGAACACATTTTTTCCAACGGGTAGCAGTGCTTAAACTTGTGCTTAAGCTCATTGTGGGGGTGAGTGAGGCTTGCATAATGGCAAAGGTAAAAGGAACTTTCTAGAGCCACTTGCATTTCTAAGCCGTCAGAGGCTTTTTTTTTCTTGCTTTAAGATACGCTTTTTGAGCACTAAATACACATTTGCTTCTGCTGCAGCATAGCGTCTGGTGCCCTGCTGACACGATAAGCTTCAGTTCACCTTTCTCACTTTTTCTATGTTAATGTGCAGCCTACATTGTCATTACGAATTTTCAAGAGCCCACTGTGGTATAAGCACCGCAAACAGCCCCTCCTAGATAAAGCCGCTGCCCCGCGTATCACCATTACAGAATTCTATATCTAAGATAATGGTTTTTCTTTCAGAGATTTACGTGGTTTTACCTCTTAATTAAATTGTATCATTGTATCTGAGGGCACATGCTCAGAAGCTTTCAGGTCAAGAACGCCCTCCTCATAAAACCTGACAAATAAAGAAATGAGTAAATGTCGCATGTATTTTATATTTTTCCTTTTTTCTCAGCTCTGCCTGAAGTATTGGAGAATTGGGAGAGCTTCCACTGTATACTATCAAAGACTCTTCCTTCCTAAGTCATAAGGTTTTTAACTTGAAAGTGGGAACCTGCACCTTAGGGTAGGATCTGCCCCGGGACCGCTGTCCCTGCTGCTGAGGTGTGAACTGACTACACAGGTGTTGAGGGGGATGGGGAGGCCCCAAATGTAGAATCTAATCTGTTGTCTCCGGTTTTCACTCCAGGAGAAGATCCCTTTTCAAAAAACTAGCCAAGCAGCCTTCTCCTTTGCTCCACACCAGCCGAAGTTTCTCCTGCTTGAACCGGTCCCTGTCATCAGGGGAGAGCCTCCCGGGTTCCCCCACACACAGCTTGTCTCCCCGGTCCCCCACGCCCAGCTATCGCTCCACCCCCGACTTCCCATCAGGTGAGCTAGTCTCCTGGCCCACACAGCAAGGGAGAGTTGAGAGGTGGTCAGAATCACCCTGTGAGCTCCTGAGGGACAGGAGGCTTATTCCAGGTTAATGAAAGATGGTTGAGGATGTAGATGGTAGTGAACAGGATTTATAGGGCAGTCGTGAGATGTGGTTGTTTAGAACATTAAGGCAGGAAGTACTGGGTTGGACCCTGGTGTGAGGAAGATGTATCTGAAAAGCATGTATTCATTAGAGTTAAATGCTGAGACAATTTGCTGACCTTTATCTGAGCTGATCGAAAAGAGTTTGGGTTGGAAGCATGGAAAGAAAAGGGAAGGAGTCCATTGCTCATGGCTTTCTGTTTTCTACCCACAGGTACTAATTCTTCCCAGAGCAGCTCCCCAAGCTCTAGTGCCCCCAATTCCCCAGCAGGGTCAGGACACATCCGACCCAGTACCCTTCATGGCCTGGCCCCCAAACTCAGCGGACAGCGCTACCGGTCAGGAAGGCGTAAGTCGGCTGGTAGCATCCCCCTCTCCCCACTGGCCAGGACCCCCTCTCCAACGCCACAACCCACCTCCCCGCAGCGGTCACCATCCCCTCTGTTGGGACACTCGCTTGGCAATTCCAAGATCGCTCAAGCCTTCCCCAGCAAAATGCACTCCCCGCCCACCATCGTCAGACATATCGTGAGGCCGAAAAGCGCAGAGCCCCCAAGGTCCCCGCTGCTCAAGCGCGTGCAGTCGGAGGAGAAGCTCTCCCCCTCCTATGGCAGTGACAAAAAACACCTGTGTTCCCGCAAGCACAGCCTGGAGGTGACCCAGGAGGAAGTGCCGCGGGAACAGCCTCAGCGGGAAGTGACCTTGCAGAGCTTGGAGGAGAACGTGTGTGACGCGCCCTCCCTCAGCCGCGCCAGGCCCGTCGAGCAAGGCTGCCTGAAGCGCCCCGTCTCCCGGAAGCTGGGGAGACAGGAGTCTGTGGACGAGCTAGACCGAGAGAAGCTGAAGGCCAAGGTGGTAGTGAAGAAACCGGACGGGTTCCTGGAGAAGCAGGAACCCCACCAGAAATCCCATGGACTTGGTAGTGATTTAGAAAACCTCTCAGCTTTGAGGCTGGAAGAGAGAGAGAAGAAAATATACCCAAAGCCTTTAGAAAGGTCAAACCATTTTGAAAACAAAGGGGCCTTGCAGGAGACCCAGTCCCTGGGCAGTCTACTGAAGGGGGCTCTTCACAAGCAGGCCAGTGTTCGGGTCAGCGAGGGGGTGACCTCAGAAGGGGCAGCAGCGGGCCATGTCCTGGCACCCGGGGACCACAGCCAGGGCATCTGTGACTTCAAGCGCACCCCTGCTGCCAGCACCCTACAGGACAGTCTCTGTCACGCCACAGAGAGGTCCAGCTCCACGAAGGGGGAGAACGTGGAGAAGGCCTCCCAGGCCAAGGATTGTCTCCGATGTGAGAAGTTAGACAGCAAACTGGCCAACATCGATTACCTCCGAAAGAAAGTGTCACTTGAAGACAAAGATGCCAGCCCGTGCTCTGTGCTCAAGCCCAAGATGACCTCTAGTGCCCACGAAAGCCTGCCTGGGAACCCAGTCCGGGCTGTGGGTGGACAGCAGGAGGCCCTGCCAGTCTCTGAGAGCCGAGCGTTCATCAGCAGTGCCCACCCGGCTCAGATCAGTGCTGTTTCTTTTGTCCCTCTCAAGGCCCTCGCCGGCCGGGTGGATGGTGGAGGGGAAAAGCCGGGCTTGGTCGCTCCTGAGTCACCTGTCCGCAAAAGCCCCTCCGAGTATAAGATGGAAGGTAGGTCCGTGTCCTGCCTGAAGCCAATTGAGGGCACTTTGGATATTGCGCTCCTGTCTGGACCTCAGGCCTCCAAGACAGAGCTGCCATCCCCGGAGCCTGCACAGAGCCCCAGCCCAGCCAGTGATGTGGGGCCCTCTGTGCCACCAGCTCTCCCCAGCGGCGGGGGCATGAAGGGTGACACAGTGGGTCAGAGGGAGCCTTCCCCTGCCAGCTTCAGGATGAGTAAGTCCTACCTGCTGGAGTCCTGGTTCCCATCCTCTAGCCGGGGTCTCCAGAATTCACCAGCAGCTTCCTTGCCTGAGCCAGACCTAAAGCGGGACAGGAAAGCTTCCCATGCTGCCAGGAGCCCAGTGATGGTCATGGAAAGCAATCCCCAGCAGAAGGAGGGGGGCCCCAGCAAACACCAAGGCCACAGCCCCGACATTAAACTCCTCCCCTTCCTGGGACAGAACCCCCACAGCACCGACCCATCCAGGTCCCGCAGCCTGCTGCCCCCTGAAAATACCCCCTCGAGAGAGAAGCTGAGCCTGAGGGAATCCTCTGAAAGGGGCCCTTCCGCAGCCAGAAGCGAGCGGTCTGCTGTGAGGGTTGACTCCCAAAGAGACCCCTCCACCGAGCTGTGTCCTCCAGAAGCTGCTAAAACCCGTGAGGATTCCAGAAACCTCCCCTCTGGGGGAATGCCCCGCCCTGACTGCTACACACAGCCCCACCCCACAGACAAAGCATGGGGGCCTTGCGGCCAAGCAAGCCCCAGAGATGGCCGTGTGGAGGTGAGGCCGCTGGCAAGGGAGGACTCTCATTTGCCTTCAGCAGGGACTCCTGAGAGGGAGCTGGGCAGAGGAAAAGGTAGCACAGAGCCCCAGCCAGAAGCCCCTCCGGCCCGGCGGTCCCAGCCGCCACCCGGCCCTGAGAATGGGAAAGGAGACCTCCTCTCTGGTTACCCCGTCTTGCCGAGAGACAGTCCCAAGGAGCTGGAAGGGAAGGAACAGCCTCCGCAGAAACATGTCAGCGGTAGCTCTCAGCCAGTCCCAGTCACCAAAGAACTGCACGGCCTGGCGGCTCGGCCACACAGCAGCTCGCTGAGCCACGGCTCAGGCGGAGAGCCGGGGGGGCAAGCCCTATGCTGCAGAACCCGGCCTGGGCCTCCAGGGCCTTCCCAAGCCGACCACAGCGCACAGTGAAAGCAGCAGCCACAAGCCCAGACCTGGCCCTGACCCGAGCCCTCCAAAGTCGAAGCACCCAGACAGGGCCCTCTCCTCCCAGAAGCCAAGCGGTGGGCCTGCAGTGGGCAGAGAGCCTGGTTCTCAGTCCCCTGTTGGCCCCAGCCGAGAGGGGAAGGGCTGCATCAAGGGCGTCTTGGATGTGTTCCCTGCCCTCCCAGGCTCCCAGAACACAGCTAGCGATGCGATGGGCCAGGGAGGAGGCGGACCCTCAGTCCCACTGCAGGCCGAAGGGGGTCTTCTAGACACCAGGCTGAAACCCGCCAGTGGTGGGCATCCCCCGGAGGGGCTAGAGAAGCCCACGCTCCTGCCATGGCAAGGACGCCCAGGAGGTGATGAGTTGGTAGACCAGAAACCCGCCACTGTCAGCGAAAAGCAAAACCTGTCTCCAAAGCACCCCAAACCATCCACTGTGAAAGACTGCCCACCTCTGTGCAAACAGACAGACGCGAGTCCAAGTTCACCGGCCGCCGCTACCACTGACAGGAAGTCTGAGGGCAAGAAATGCACTGAAGCACTTTATGTCGCCACAGAGAGTGGGAAGCCCGAGGCCAGCCTTCCCCTGGCACCCGGCGAGGCCAGGCCAAAAGGCACAGAGAGGCCAGCAGCTGCTGTTGGGAAGGGCTTGCCAGAGGCCAAGGGGAAAGGGCTGAGTGCCCAGAAGCCACTGAGTGAGGCAGGCAAGCCCAGTGGCATGAAGCGGTCACCCTCGGCCACTGGGCAGAGCTCTTTGCGATCCACTGCCCTCCCGGAGAAGTCTTTGAGTTACTCTTCCAGCTTTCCTGAAGCCAGACCGGGGGCACGAGAGGCCAGCACGAGTGGCAGTGACGCGTCTTCCACCAAGGCTGGCGGGGCTGCGGCTAAGGCCCTGCCTGCGGGGGATGGCAGAACCCACATGACCAAGAGTGACTCCTTGCCATCTTTTCGGAGCCCCACCGTCACTCTGGAACTGCACCACCCTGGCCCGAGTGTGGCGGGAGGTGCCGGCCACCGGGACAGGGCCCTGTCAGTAACTGCCACCGCAGGAGAAACCAAAGGGAAAGAGCCTGTTCCAACCCAGCCCCCTCAGACTCGGAAACAGAACCCGGGCAGAGAAGTCACCAAGGCGTCCCCAGCTCCAAGCCCTGACCGGCCCATCGCCCTTTCTTCCGAGAAGGACTTTGTGGTCCGGCAGAGGCGGGGGAAAGAGAGTGTGCGTAGCAGCCCTCACAAAAAGTCCTCGTAGTGGGGCAGGCCCCAGGCCGGACTGGGGAGACCCCGACCTGAATGTGTACCTGAGTCTTGACTACCTTTCGAAACCAGCACTGTGTGGCATCGCCCGCCGGGCAGAGCCTGGAGCCTCACTGCGGATGGACGGGGAGAGGGAGAGAAAGTCGGAAAGAAAGAGGGGACCTTCTTCCAATTGCCTTCCCGATCGTTACCGGTAAAACTGTTACCAGATAGTGTTTGTACAAACAACAACAACGGAATAACCTTTACAGTTGAGGGTTGCTGAGGAAAAAGATTTTCTCTGTAAATACCTAGCGATGTGTTTGGTTTGGGACTGAGAGTCGGTACCTTGCTGCTGTGATTGCGTTGTTTACCACAGCTTTGTTTTGTTTGTTTTTTTTTTTCCCAGTTAAGATTTTTACTTTACCACTTATCATAACGTAGTAATGAAGCAAAACGGTTAAAACTGGGTGTATTGAAAAGTAGAGCTACGCTCCTATTCGTGTACATATGCACCCACCCACATGTTTTGGTCTGTGGTTTAAGAGAATATTTCAAGGCTACATTTTTCTACGTTAAAGCGTTCTAAGTAGAGTTAAAGGTGGAAGAAAGTCCTAGATACAGTAGATCGTGAGTTTTTGTGTGTACTTTTCAGGAGAGATTTTGGTAGTACTGTATCTGGATACCTGTGTTTCCAGATCCGAAAGCAAGAACTACTCTAATCACTGCATCTGGAAGCTTTCCTCCGTTAGGAATGGCCAGAACCAAGGGAGATAACCATTGTCACCGCACAGCCATCCCAGTGGACGTTCTGATCCTGGGTCCAACTATCTGAAAGGCCAGTTGTCCTTGTTTGTGAGTATGGGGGGGGCCTTCACCCTCCCTGGAGTGCGGGCTATAAACACACGTCAACTTTCTTGCTCTTACTTTCCCTTCTTTTTCTTTCCACACTCTTAAACTCAGGCCTTTATGCTATGAGTCACTAGTCCAAGAAGCACACATTTCGTAGGACTTTTGCACCAGCCCTGCTCTTGAACAAAAAGGAAAATTACTGGCCGCACACGAATCTGACAGTGCTTAAATCGAGTAAGAAGGATCAGGCATTGGAAGAGGTTTTAAATTTTGCTTTGTTGAGGGGAAAAAGGGGGTGGATTTTGGCATCATAGCATATATATTAATGAATAATCAGGACATCAGATACATTTTAATACATAGCTGGGGCCTTATGTTGTAGATGAAGCTTGCTGTTTTTAGCAAGTTCCTGGGTTTCACATTCATTTCTGATGCATCGAGTAGCTCCATACATTACATAACACGATCTCTTTATTTGTATGCAAAAAAAAAATAAATACTGTATTAATAAAGAGCAGCATTTTTTTAATAAAAAATAAAAAAGACTCGGTGGAGCTATTTGGTGCTTGAATGTGTCCTTTTTACTTTTGCTAAGCCTTATTTAAATTTTGTATACCATGGAATATGTAGAATTTGTCAAATCATTTTAGAGCTGAGGGGGTTTTTTGTTTGTTTTCGTTGCAGTTGTCCTGGTGGCTTGTTTTGTATTGTAAGACGACACTTGCTGACATAAGTACTAAAGGCACTAAAAGAAAATACACACAGATAAGTCTTTATAAGATGTTTGGGATCCATAGCAGGATTTTTTTGGTTTTGTTTTTCAAGAGAAAAAAATATTACCGATAAATACTAATTCAGCACCCAAACCCCCTCGGATGTCTTAGTATCTTCAAGCTATAAAATTGTTCCTCTAAGCACAGCCTCTGGATTGTAAATTATTTAGCGAGGCTGTAAACCCTGCTCCAAAAACAAAGGCATAACTTAACTGACTGCTTGGTTGTCCCTCATTGTACAATGAGATGGGAATGGAAAAAAATAAATAAAAATAAAAAAGTCTCCTCCTTGCCCCTGATTTTTTTTCCCCATGTAGTTTCAGCTCTTCCCCATCGCTCTGTTGTGAAATTGTAGAAGAAATAAGTATTGTAAAAGAACTCAAATGGGTTTCCAAAGTGGTCTCAACATTTATAATTCATATCTGTGTTTGGTGGTTGTCATAACCCAGTCTTCTGTATCCAGACACCTCGACAGATCTATCGGGGAGGTAGTTCATGGTTTACAGCCTTTGCTTTTTAACTGTCCAGTTTCCTTTAAAGCACAACTAGCTGCTCGTTTACAAATGATATTTTTATGTATATTTTGTATAGTGTATTATCATTTTTGCCAAATATGTTTTTGCATTTTGGATGAGTAAAAAGTACTTCAGGTTGCATTCATGTAATACCTGTTTGTTGTTGTAAACCTCTCCAATCAGCTGGTAGGAATTCTCCTGTGTTCTCTCCGGTCAGTCTCCTGTGATTGTAAGATGTGCTCCTCGGTAGAACTCCCAGCTGTAGGTTGACCAGCTTCAAAGTCTGTTAGGATCTGTGCAATAAAGTGTTTGCAGTCTTATTTTCTCTAAGAAGTTCCCTATGGATGTCCTAATTGTTGTATATTGAACAAATATTTATACTTATGCAGTTGCATAACATTGAAATAAAAATTTAGCATGAAAAGATAATGACTAATATGTTCTTTCCTTATGTGTATACATACATCTCTAAAATGTTACTGAATATAACTGTATATTATGGAAGTATGCAGCTTTACAGATGGCTTTTATGGAGGGGAATGGTTTACTAATTTTTTTAAATTTTATTTATTTGAGGAGGGGGAGAGAGCAAGAACAAACAGGCGGAGAGGCAGAGGGAGGGGGAGATGCAGACTCCCCACTGAGCAGGGAGACTAATGCAGGACTTGATCCCAGGACCTTGAGATCATGACCTGAGCCAATACTTTCTTCTTAAAGATTAAGTCTTCCTATAACGCCTTACTATGTTTTCTACCAACCTTATTCCTTGCCTGCAGAACTTGACAGCTTCCACACCACAGTCACTGTCTCCATACGGTCTCCTTCTCAGGGACACCAGCTCCTTCAGTTCTCTAGAAACCTTCCTCCATCAATTGCATTTTGCCCTGTCTTCGTTCATTTCCTCTCTTCCTTTCTCCCTCCTCGTAATCAAAGCCATTGAAACCACCAGAAATGAAAGAAGCAGCCTAACATTTATTGTATATGTAGGGGTGTGTGTGTGCATGCATAGTGCCGGGCAAGGTACTTTTCATCTTCCATGTCATTTGAGCCCCGACCCAGATGGTAGCAGCATCCCTAATTTACAGATGGGGAAATAGCCCCAGATGGATGATGTCATTCACTTAATATACACGCTGTGAAGAGAGTCTATATTAGCATCCAGGTTTTTTTTTTTGTTTTGTTGTTGTTGTTGTTGTTTTTCCTGGCTCTAAAGCTCTAGACCTTTCTAAACATCTCCAGGTGTCATGTGGTTGCATTCAGGTCTGGGCCCCTCTGTGAATGCTCGAAGCCATCTCATTGTCTGTTTACATGCAGAAAAATCATACGGGGCAAAATGACATGTTTGGTGATTGGTGGGAGACCTCAAGCCAAGGCAGCTAATCATTCTCTGTAATAGGGCTCCTTTATTAATTCTAATTAATCAGTTGGCAATTTCCCATCTAGCATTTTCAGTTCGTAACACAAAAGTGTAACATGAAGAAGTATAGCTTAATATTAACTACAGAAATCTGCTTCCTTCTATACAGGCCAGTAATGAAGCAACTCAAGGGTAGGGCAGCTCTCTAAATTTAATTTCCCACCTACCAGTATGGTTTTAACCCACTCTAAAAGCAGTGATTTGTGTTAGTCCTCTTTTTTTCTAGGTCTGTGCCCATGAATATTCTCCACATCTTGTCTATCATCTACAAAAGCTAGAAATGACCATGGCTTTGTTGAACCTCAGGTTCATTACTTTTTGCCTATTGAAAGTCAGTCAGTCTGGCTCAGATTCAAGTTCTCTGGCCGTTTAGACTCCTTGGGCCACAGGCTGGGATCTTAGCACCAGTCCTCAAGGAAAAACATGCAACAACATCCCACTGATTTCTGGAACTGTGCCTTCCCAAAGCTCCCAAATTTGACTTCCCTTTGTCTTCCGAGATGTGCCAGTCAAGCCTGTTCTGATGTTGAGAAAAGAAAGATCTGCTCTCTATGGTTACTAGGTCTGCTGCTTACTACTAAGCTTACTACTAAGCTGCACACAGCTTTGCAGAACGTCTATTACTACGGTGCAGCTGAAAGCCTGTAACAAATGCTCAGCTCCTGTTTCATTAACACTGCCTGGAGACGGCTGTCAGTAGCCAGGAGGTGAAGGATGAAGATGTTCGTGGGGCCTGAAGCAAGCGTGTTGCGTTGACTGGGGCTTCATATGTCAGCCTGCCAACACCATAACCTCCAGCCCTAACCCGTCTAAATAAAAATCCTTTGCCTGAAAATTCTGTCCCCTCTGGAATACATACACCATGTTACACAGTGCCACGAAGTGCCGTTCCCAGGCTGGAGACAGATTGACTCTTCGGGGGACTAGGGTGATTCCTGCAGATACCTGCCCGCATCCTTCAGGGTGGTGCTGGCCTGTAGTACGAGCCCCAGCCCCTCAGCCCCCTGCCCTGTCCACGCGGGCATCCTTAGAACAACTATGGCTCCCTGACCTCAAGGAAACACATAGAGCCTTAGGAAAAGGCCGCCTCATTTTCCAGTTCCTGTAAATTCTCACAACCCGTGACCTCTCTATTCTTCTTGCCCTTGTTTGTAGAAACAAAAGAAGTCTTTCTTCAATGACAAAACTCCTTTTCTGTGCCTACCATGGTCATAGGAGGCAGATTCGAAGTACAGAGATGAAGAAAAAGGGATTGCTGCGATCCCACCAGGTGTTCTGTCATTGTTCAATTTATATAGGTTTTTAATTCTTTTTCAAAAAACTTAAGTAACAGGGGACATGATGTTGGCCGACCTCCCTGGTTGAGTATTAAATCACAAATATATTTCAATATCTATAAATACGCTTCTGCAATATTGTTCACAATGGCTGTATGGCATTTCCTTTTATGGACATGCCGTATTGCTTTCCTTCATGGCAGGGAGCCTCAGATGCAGACGATTGAGGTCGTCTTGCTCTCCAGTTCTCAGCCAGTTTATGCCAGAGTTCATTGACTCTATCCCTACACTTCTTTCCACCCACCAGGCAGCCATGTGAATTAAATGGTTTATCTTCTTGTGTTCTTACAAAACAGGTATGGTTTTGTATCCATGTATTTTTATTGTCTAAAAATGATTGTGTTAATGTGTTATTTGGGCTTTGTTTTTTTCCCATCAAGCTCTCTG